TTATGGTCTTCTACTCCCACCCAATTTATATGTTGGTACTCTCCATGGTTCTGACCTGAGCTTCTGGCCTGTTTAATCACTAAATCTGCCCTGTTTAATACAGTACCCACATGTGACTATTGAGCCCTTGAAATATGGCTAGCCTAAATGGATATGTGCTATAATTGTTAAATATACATATGATATTAAAGACATGTATTAAAAATAATAAAATTATTAATAGGATTTTTATACTGATCAATATTGAAATGATAATGTTTTGTATATATGAAGTAAAATATGTTATTACTTATTTAAAGTTTATTTATTTCTTTATTTTGAGAGACAGGGAGAGCTCATGCATAAATGTGAGTGGGAGAGGGACAGAGAGAGGGAGAGAGAGGGGAGAATACGAAGCAGGCTCCATGCCCAGCGCAGAGTCTGATACAGGGCTTGATCTCATGAACCATGAGATCATGACCTGAGCTGAAATCAAGAGTGGGATGCTTAACTGACTGATCCACCCAGGTGCCCTTGTTATTATAACATTTTTTAAGGTGACTACTGGAAAATTTTAAATTACATATATGAAAAAAATAAACAAAATTACATATGTGGCTCACTGTATACTTCTAGTGGATGGCTCTGTTCTAGAAAGTGACCTGATTATTATTACCTTATTTCTGTCCACTTGAGCCCACAGAGCTGTTTTTTGTCCCCAGAACACTTCACATCATTTTATGCCTGGTACACTTTCCTTTTCCTGAACTTTTGTTTGTCTTCTTTTCTGCCATCTTAGATATGTTTCCTACTTTTTTTGGTTCAGAGCAAATATCTCCTCTACTACTTGAAAATTTCTAATTCCTTAAGGTAGAATTAAACATTTCTGCCTAAGAGTCTATCATCCTCTGTTAATATCTTTATTATAACTAATTTACATGCTTATATTTTCTTTTATATGCATTTGTCTCTCCAACCAGATTGTAAGTGTCTGCAAATCAGGTGTGATCTGATTTATGTCTATAATTATGTAGCTAGGTACTCAGTACCAGGGTGTACTCAGTGAAAGTCTGGTGAATAACAACTGAATCTACACATATTAAACAGTGATCATATAATTAGTTATGACTTAGATGTTTTATAGATAATATCTTGAATCCTCTCAACAACCCCGAAAGGTAGATATAATTATCCTCATTTTGCATATGGGGATCTTGCAAAAGCTCAAACTGTTAGTAAATTATAGAGCCAGGCTTCAACTAGACTGAATGGGGGGAAAAAAGCCATGTTTTTTTCTGTGATTCTTTTTTTTAAATGTTTTATTTATTTCTGAGAGAGAGAGAGAGAGAGAGAGAGAGCGCATGAGCATGGGAGGGTCAGAGAGAGAGGGAGACACAGAATCTGAGACAGGCTCCAGGCTTTGAGCTGGCTGTCAGCACAGAGCCCCACATGGGGCTCGAACCCACGAACCATGAAATGATGACCTGAACTGAAGTCGGACGCTTTACTGACTGAGCCACCCAGGAGCCTCTTTTTTTCTGTGATTCTATGCATGCTGAAAAACTGATTAAAAAGTAGTGATCATACCCCACACCAAAAAATAGGGGAAAATACCCATTTCCCAAGATTGTTACAAGATTAAGTGGCATAATGTATATAAAGTGTCAGGGCAGTGCTTGGAAATGCTAGGTTTCATTAAACATTGGCTTCCTTCAATGTTGAAGCCAATAGCATAGGCATCCTTAATTTATTTTTTTAACTTTTTAAATATTTAGTTTTGAGAGAGAGAGAGAAAGAAAGAGTGCAGGCAGGGGAGGGACAGAGAGAGAGGGAGAGACAGAATCCAAAGCAGGCTCTAGGCTCTGAGCCATCAGCACAGAGCCTGATGTGGGGCTCAAACCTATGAACAATAAGATCATGTCCTGAGCCAGTGTCAGGCACTTAACTGACTGAGCAGCCCAGGTGCCCCTAGCATCTCTAATTTCTGAGGAAGACCAAAGTGTTTTACCTAGCCTCCTCAATGTCCCTACATATGTTTGCACTCATATGAAGGTCATGAGAAACAGACCACCTCCAGGGCTATCCACTTTAACTTAATCTTATTTGTATATGCACCTGATGGTTAAAGAAAGCGAAGTAGAGAAATAACAAGTAGTACTGAGCCCATTCGATCTTTCTTTGTATGTTTGTGCTTATTGGTGAAGGTTGGGGTAGGAATAATGGCAGAAAAGGGATCAAGCCTAGAGTCTTACTAGGGCTATGTTGCTTTGGTGAATTTCCAAGAAATCTTTGTGAGTAGAGTGCTGATTCTTGTCTTCTTGTTCTGTCTTACCCAGTGATGCCATTTACAATCAGGACCACTTTCTTTAACACCTCAGGAAACTTTGTAGGAAAGGGAAAAGAGAAGTATGAAAGGGATAAATATGAACTGTAGCCCAGTGCTGGTCTGCAGGCCCTATGTAGGGGTGCTAAGCTCCTGAGAAATAAATTCAAGCAACTAAAATGTGAAGATATGTTGCTACTGAGCTTTGTTGAGGAAAGGGAAAGAGATTCCTTTATAACCTTCAGATCCTTGTAACTTTCCTAAAAAATCAGTACTGAGAAATTGCTCCATTGCTTTGGGTACTTGACCAAGGCTAAAGGAAACTCATGGGTTTTAGGGGAAGATAGTTGCTCTCCTATTGATTTTCCTGAGTTTCGCATTTCAAGTTAACAACAGAACCAATTCTTTGTCCCTAGTTAGAAGAAACCTTTTCGCCAACCTGTGCTCCTATTTGTTTTTGATCAAATATACAGACAAGTGATAAGTAGGACAGAGCTTCCCCTACTGAAAAAAAAACTCAAACTCTCCTCCAAATATATACTATCTATATAACATAACATTATAATATAATATAATAATATAATATAACAATGTTTAAAAGTCTTCTGATCCATTATAGAACCAAACTAATATAAATGGGACAAGGAATAGATAGAAAAAGGGAACTCTGGGCCTTATGTTGTTATTATTTTAATGATGTGTTTTATCTCTTAAACTAGTCCTTTGAGTTTAGGGACAATGTCTTAAATGTTTCTGTATTTACTTCACTGCTTTCCACATAGTAAATGCTAGGTGTTCCTTTGCTGAATGATGGAAACTGTAACCCATACGCAGTATAAGGACAAGGTTGTATGTAGCACAGGAAGGTGTAAGGAAAAGGTTCTTTGAAGTGAACATTTTGAATCTGCATTAGGAAACTGAATATTCTCTAGCACTTAAATCAAACTTTGAGATCAAGAAAACAGCTTCAAATCTGGGAGAGCCTTTATGTCTGATATTATACATGGAGATATTATGCATGGCCAAGAATATGGGAAAGATAAGAATGGCAATTATCTGGCTGCTCCAAAAAATTCAATATACATAGAAAAATACAGAAAACTTTGAATTTTAAAGGGAAGAATTCAAGCTGATTTATCTGCCAGATTGGCTTGTACTTAAAATAACAAACTAAAGGAAGATACCTTTAGATATAAGCCACTCAAATGCCAAAGCATCATAAACTCTCACAATCAACTGATTTTGAGACAAGTTTTCTTTGTTATGACTTTGAGCCTGCGCATACCTTTTGGGGGGCTGATTTGACTCTGACTCTTCTAGTCTCTTCTTTTTCCTCTTTACAATTGATTAAAGTCCACAGACTTCCTTAAGATAATGCCTCTACCATATCAATAGAAATTGCTTTAGTTACTAAGAGTCCCCTTCAAAATCATAAGCCTTCAGGAAAATTGAGGCTTTAACATTGGTGAAAATTCTTTTGTACTCCTCAGTCTGGAGAAGGTTTGTCTCAGCTTCCTGTCACATTTTACAGTTAATTAATACGAGGTTGAAGGGAAGAGAGAAATCTATAAGTTGGATGAAATTTTAAATAGCAAGTATTCATTAACTCAAACACAACAGTACTCAGAAATCTTCCTTTCCATAAATTAGAGGTATGTGTGTACATAAAGAACTAGAAACAAATGCCACAGAAATTAATAGTAACCATAGATAGATCATTTAAAATTTCTTTGTGTGTATGCCTTTCAATCTATGGCAAATTTCCTATAATGAAGATGCATTATTTTGGTAAACAGAAAAAAATTTAAAAAAGAAATGGTAATCAATAGCCACTTCTAGTAAACAGAAGGTTTGAAGGTAGGTAGCTCAGTGAGGTTTCGTTTGATCAAGTTCAATGAGGTTTTCCAGGAGCAGGCACTTAAAAATGTTTTTCTGCATCATCCTCTTCAATGGTTGGCATTCATCCAAGAGACTGTTGTCTCACAGTTACAAGATCCCTATCACATCCCCAAGTAGGAACGAAGAGGCAGAGGCAAGAGCTTTCTCTTTGCACCTAATAATGTCCCCTCATCTCATTTGTTGGAACTGAGCCAAAGGACCAACCAGTGGCAAGGAAAGGAGATGGTAGATTTGCATTAAACCAATTATCATTCATCCCGTGGCCCTGAGTATAAAGAATAGCTTTCCATTGACATGAACAGAGCAGAGTTCTAACAGCAGGGAAGGAAAGAGGGGAAGGGATGCTCACTGGGTAGGAGACAAACATGTCTGTCAGAAGCACATAATAAAGATTTCCTGGACAAGTGAGGACTGCAGTATGACATGCATCCTAAAAACTTTTGCTTTTGTGGGCCTCTTCTTCCATTAAAAAAAAAAAAAAAGCTAAAAATTATATATTACAACTGAATTGGCATAAAGACAAATTTAATCCAGGCTGAATTCATTGTTACATATTCATTATTATTTTTAATTTTTATTCTGATATCTTGTCACAGACCTAGATAGTGTGACTATGTGTTTAGTGGTTAATTCAACCCTAGGTCTTTGTTGTCCTTCCAGCTGGATTACAAACACTTTGAGGGCAGTGACTGTCCTAGAGTTCACTGTTGCCCAAGGTTCTTACCACAGCACTATGCTCTAAGAACTGTTCAACAAATACTGTTGAGTTGACCTAACATATACATGTTTCTTCATCTAGGGTGAACCAGGTCCCCCTGGTCCTTATGGTCCTCCAGGAGCCCCTGGTATTGGACAGCAAGGAATTAAGGTAAAGATTCTTGTCTTTTTCCCAATTGATGAGTATCGATTTTATTGTTGGGCTGGAGAAGCTAATTTGACTCTGCTCAACCTTACCCCCTGGACACAGGAGGCTGCCTGCATAAGGTACTTATGATCTGGGTTCTTGGATACTGCAGTTCTCCAGGCAGGGGCAGTTACCACAGAAAAATCAACATGTTTTCTTTATTTGATTGGCATGAGAAAGTTTTCCTGTCTCCAAATACCCACCTTCTTGCCAATGTACATCTAGTTCTGTTGAGTTTTCATGGAATTTAAATGTTCACGTGCAAAAGTGTTATCAGGATGTGAAGCATCTTAACACAGAAACTATCACCTTCTCACACTAAAGGAGCACAGAAGGGCAGAAACCAGAAGGACCACAACACTGAATAAGTGCTGATAGAAAGGTTTTTAGGGAACTAGAAAGTACTGGGATACCCAACACCCTGGAGTGCTCTACATCATGTGGGATGTCAAAGAGCAAAAATGCTTACTTTCAATGGCTTTTCTATGTCACTGGGACAGTAAGACTTTGATGCCAGAATAAAACAGAGAGCAGCACAAAACAGGGCACTTCTAATCAAGTATCACCATGGATGGTATTTAAATGATAAGCATATTGAAACTCTAGAGAAAGTGGAGTTTATATTGGCAGAGTTATCAGACAAGGATTCTGAAGGGGATCAAGTGTGAAACAGAACTAAAAAGAGAGGTAAAATGGAACAGAGGGGGTAACATTCCAGGATGGTGGCAAGGGGGCCAGGGAAGAGCACAAGCATTGTTTGCTTCGTCATCTCAGCAACCAAAATGAATCGAATACAGTCTATCCTGCCAATTACTACACAAGAGCTTCTGAAAGCTAACAGTGGTGTATTGCGCTTAGACAAGAAGGGATGATAAACATTTTAGAGTAATATATTCACTTAAATTCAAACCATTTTTCCTCCTCCAGAATGTCTTTTATCTTTATGAATGTGAAAAGTTTGACTATTTTGCCATTATCTTTTTTGAAATCTCCAGTGTATCTTGTGCCATGTTTATTCTTTATTTAAAAACTCAAACCTTTATTTGACTATTTCTTTCTCTTAGGGGGAAAGAGGTCAGGAAGGAAGAACAGGGCCTCCAGGACCGATTGGCATTGGTGAGCCAGGCCAGCCAGTAAGTAGCAAGAAATTCTAGATGGAATAAAAAGGACAAACGCAATTCTTATGTGCTTTTTGTGGTTAGCCTAAGTGGTTAGATTAAATCATCTTATTTCTTTTGGAACAACAAAAGACAACAAATATGCAAGGACCAGATCCAAGTGTTATTTTTCATACTTCACAAAATAGAACCATACACATACACACATGATATATACGAATAACTTTCTTTTACCATAATCTCTTACAAGATTGATCAACTTGCCCAAGAAGGAGAGAGATCTCATGTGTCAAAATTTCCTAGGAGATAGGAGAACTGGATTTAGGCATAAAGTCTATACTTTATAACTGACTTTCTTGAAACCATTAAAAATCACTGAGAATAAGGACCTTGCTCATAAACTAATTTATGAGTACACTCTAAAGCTAGGATTCATGAAGGTAGACAGGTGATACCTGTGTTATTTGCAGCTTCTAGCTTATGTAGCTTTGAAGTTTACTATTTTTGCAGAAGAAAAAAATGTGTTGCTATCAAAAGAGATATGAAGAAGAAATGAATAAAACATGACTATTCTAGTATAGAAATGCTCTTAACTTTTCAAGTAATCATTATTCTCCCAGAAAAGAACAGTAACTAACTCACTGAGGTACGAATAAAAACAACTGTACTGGATTGGAAGAATTAGTATTATTAAAATGTCCATACTACCCAAAACAATCTACCGATTCAATGCCATCCTTATCAAAATTCCAATCGCATTTTTCATGGAAACAGAACAAACAATCTGAAAACTTGTATGGAACCATAAATGATCCTAAATAGCCAAAGCAAACTTGAGAAAGAAGAACAAAGGTGGAGGTGTCACACTTTCTGATTTCTAAATATATTCCAAAGCTATAGAAATCAAAACAGTATTGTATTGGCATAAAAAAACCACACACAGACCAATAGGATGGAATAGAGAAACTTGAAATAAACTCACACATATATGGCCAATTAATTTACAACAAAGGAGCCAAGAATATACAATGGGGAAAGGGCCGTCTCTTTAATAAATGGTGTTGGGGAAATGGGACAGCCATAGGCAAAAGCATGAAAGTGGATCACTATCTTACACCATACACAAAAATTAACTCAAATGGTTTTGAGTCTTGAATGTATGACCTGAAATCATAAAACTCTTGTAATAAAACATAAGCAGTAAGCTCCCTGACATAGGTCTTCACAATAATGTTTTGAATTTAATACCAATAGTAAAAGGAACAAAAGCAAAAATAAACAACTTGGGACTACATCAAACTAAAAACCTTCTGCACAGCAAAGGAAAACATCAACAAAATAGGCAATCTACTGAATGGGAAAAAATATTTTCAAATCATATATTTGATAATATCGAAAGTATATAAAGAACTTGTATAACTCAACAATAACACAAAAAATTCAATTAAAAAACAAGCAGAAAACTTGAACAGATATTTTCCCAAAGAAGATGTACAGATGGCCAACAGGTACATGAAAAGATGCTCAACCTCATTAGTTACCAGGGAAATCAAAATCAAAATAAGATATCCCCTCACACCTACTACAATGGCTATTATCAAAAATACAAGAAAACAGGTATTGTTGATGATGTGGAGAAAAGGGAACCCTCATGCACTATTGGTGGGAATGTAATTTGTATAGCCAGTGTGGAAAACAGTATGGAGATTCCTCAAAAAAATTAGAAATCCTATTACCATCTGATCCAGTCATTCCCCTTCTGGATATTTATTCAAAGAAAATAAAACCACTAATATGTTGAAAAGATGTATGCACCCATGTTCATTGCTATTTACAATAACCAAGGTAAGGAATAAAACTAAGTGTTCACCGATGTATAAATGGATAAAGAAATTGTGATATATATATAGTATATCCACATACATATCATAGATTACTATTGGATGTATATATAATGGGTTACTACTCAATCATAAAAAAGAATGAAGTCTTGCTATTTGCAACAACACAGATGGACTTTCAGGACATTATACTAATTGAAATAAGTCAGACAGAGAAGGGCAAATACCATTCGATGTGAACCATAAAAACAAAAAAATCAAACCAATCTCCTAGATAGAGAGAACAGACAAAATCAATTTTATTTCTATATTCTCATAATAGACACATAGAAATAAAAATTTTAAATATAGTATCATTTATAGTCATTAAAAAATAAAGATTACTTGGGTATAAATCTAATAAAACATGTATAAGACTTATATCCTGAAAACTTCAAAATACTAATGAAAGAAATATTTAATAAATTGAGAGACACACCATATTCATGGATTGAAAGACTTGACATCATAAAACTGTCAAACTCCTTAAACTGATCTAAGGTTTAATGCAAAGCTTTTAAAAAATCCCAGTAAGATGTCTTTATACATATAGACAATATTATTTTAAAATCTATATGGAAAGGCAAAGTAGCTAGAAAAGTTAAAACAATTTGCAAAAAGAAGAATAAAGCCAAAGAAAGGGTTTAAGATTTATTCACATACCTATAGCAATCAAGATCATGCAGTTCTGGCAGATCATAGAAGCATGATCAGTGGAATCGAATAGAGAATCCAGATACAGACCCACACACTGATTTTTTGATAAAGATGCAAAAGCAACTCAAGGGAGGAAGCATAGTGGTGCTGGACCAATTGGTTATCCATACACAAAAAAATGAACCTCAACTTAAGTTTCACACCTTATAAAACATCACCTCAAAATGTCTCACAGACTTAAATGTGAAAGGTAAAACTGTAAAACTTTTGAATAAGACAAAACAAAGTCTTTGGGACCTACAGCTTAGCGAAGGTTTCTTAGACATGCCACAAAAAACATGATCCAAACAAGAAAAAAATTGATTAGTTGGACTTCTTGAAAGTGGAAAATGTTTGGTCCATGACTGTTAAAAGGATGAAAAGACAAGCTACTGACTGGCAGAAAGTATTTGCAAATCACATATCTGACAAAGAATTTGTATTGAGACTATATGACGAGTGTTCAAAACACAATATTTTAAAAAATCTAATTAGAATGCACATGTGTATTAGAATACACATGTGTGTATTATTTACAAACAGGTATGTATACATATATCTGCATGTTTATTGAACTTGTAACATGTGTTCTAAGCTAACAAGCTTGAAAGTTACCAATATCGCTACCTGAATCAAAAATTAATACACTGACCATAGGCTTTTATACAAATTATTTCTCTTCCACTTTTAGAGTTTTATTCTCTGTTAACTTAGTTCTACCTTATTTTCATACCATTAAAAATTATTTATTATTATTGTTGCTGTATTTTTATTTGTCAGTGTTTACTCGTGTGTTTACCAATTTCTTGGCTCATCATAGCTTCTCAAATTTCCCTCTTTTCTTTTTGGATGATCTCTATTTTTTGGAAAGTATATATTTTAAAAGTTGTTTTCAGTGAAAGTATGTTAGCACTAAACTCTTTCAGTCTTTGGTTGAAATGCCATTATTTAATTTTCTTTATAATAGTTTAGCTTGTATAGAAATCTAGATTGAGTACTAATTCCACTGTGTTCTGGCATTCATTGTTTCTGTTGAGATGTCTTCAGTAATTTATCATTTCTTAGGAAGTAATTTATCTTTTCCATTTGGTTGCTTTTGCAATTTTTTGTTGTCCTTTAGATTTTCCACAGATTCCTTATGAACCATATGATTGGGGATGTATTTTCACTGATGTTACTTCAAGTTTACTGTGTTTCATGAACCTGAGAATTCAACATGTTTAAAAGTTCTTAGTGATTATCTCTTCAAATATTTTCTTCCCCATTCTATTTATTTAGAAATCCTATTAGATATTTGGTTGCATTTTGAGTAATTTCCTCAGATCTAATTTATAATCCACAAATTTATATTCATCTGGTTATAAAATATCCTATCTCATTGTATTTTAAACTTAATGGGTATTTTTTAAAAAATTCTTGAATTCATTTTTAAATCTTTTTTTACTATACTTCTGTTTTTACTGTAATATTCTCTTTGCTTCTTGTATTTTATATTCTTATTATTAGACCATTAGGCATTCAAAGTATACATTTTTGGTCTCTTTTATTTTATTATTTGACATTTTGGGGGAAAATTATAGGCTCACTTTTATTCATTATGAATTGTTTTCTTATATCCTTTGTACTCTGACATCTGAATTCATAGTCATCAGGCCTTTACCTGTGAAAATCTTAAGTGTTCTGGGTGGAAGGTATTTTAGAGGAATTTGCACTTGCATCTCTTAGGTACTCCATGGATATCTTTGATGCTAACGTCTTGACTAAGGTGTGATGTCAATTAAAACTACAAACCTATATACAGCGCTGGAACAAGCATGGAATTTTTAGGCCCTTTTAGAGCCTAAGTGAAAGTAGATAAGATTCTTGTCTTTCACGTCACCGTGTTGATTGGATGGCTTTTTTTTCAACCCTGCCCTTTCATTGACAATATGTAAGTAACCTTGAAGCTCCTGGCTTTCTGTGGGGATCTCAGCTCTAATGCTCTCCCCCTTTGCCATTGAATGAGCCAAAATCTTTGCTCCTGTTCTTTGTCTTAGGTTTTCTAGACTCATTGCCAACACACAACAACTACGTGTTTCCACCCAGGACAACCACAGCATCAGTTTCTATGCTCACCACCCCAGTATTCAGCTCTTTTTGTTTGGGAGCCCTGTGATTTCCCTTACGTATTTATTTATTTTTGGATTTCAGCTATGCCTTTAAAATTCATTTTAAAGAAAAATGTGTCTTACTTGACTTTTTGTTTATAGCTAGAGAGTTTTCACATTATTGCCAGAACATGAAGTTCTTGTTTGTTTGCTTTCTAAGCCACGATTATACAAATCAGAAAGACACCATGAAGTCGGCGATTCAATTGGAAACTGAAATCATTACAAAGGTGGGGAGGATCGCAAATAATGCATGCAAATGTTGTACCAAACTGATATAATAAAAATCCAACATTGTGAGTTTTTTAATTATTTAGAAGTAACAAAAAGACTTACCTTGGAACTGAGAAAGGTTCTGCTGAAAGTCTTTTTACCTTTGCTTCTTTGTCTGAATGATTTCAAGTGGTTTAAGGTTTTGTTTTTTATACAAGGATATTCAGAGCATTATTAGTAAAAAAAAAAAAAAAAACCCGCTAAAGTAGAATTGTAAATACTTTGAAGTTAAAAATTATGTAGATGGTACTGTTTGAATATCGTGGGCAATTTTTATTATTATTTAGTACATTTGTTTTTAATGCTTGCAATGTATGTTAAAATCACTTTTACTGATTATCTACACTAGTGAGATTATTAAGAAAAGTAATAAGATAATCACATTTTATCTTATTAATGTCTCAAAGCATTTCACTGGTCAGACTGTGTTAACTGATAATTAGATTCCTCCATTATATATTTTTTATTAGAGACGTTCATGAGAAATCAAATAAGTATGCCATAATTATAATTGATTTTTGTGGCTTTTGAAAAGGACACTATGAGTTTTTTATAGAAGAGTTTCTGTCTTTTAGAAATAATCCATGAGTTCTACTGTAATAAAGTATAGTTCATCTACCCAAGTACCTGCTCTTTCTGTACCAAGCAGTCATCTTTCATTCTGCTTAGCTATAATATATGGGAATGCTCAGATGATACAGTCTCTTCCTCTGACAGTTCGCAATAATTAAGTTTTGGATCACTGTTGCTTTAAATGCCTTTAAGCAATTACTCACGAGTATTAGTTCTCTGTTCTCAGCAGCTTGGAACACATGGCTCCTCAAAGCCCCCCGTGTTTTCAGTCTTACATTGGCTGGTGTATTCTAGAAATGCAGAGATGGAAGGAAGGTTCAGTGTTCAGGCCGTGCAGCAACCCGCTCTCCATACTGCTAACTGTAAACCTTTTACCCTGAGGCTAACCTACTCATGAAAATGCCCTGAAAGGACATTTTTCACCATCACAAGATTCAAGTAAAATAATTTTGATAGTGATGGCAGGTATTTATTAAGTGCTCAATATGTAAGAGCTTTAAGTCTCTCGGACCTAACCCTTATATTAATGCTCATGGTTCAGGTAGGTACTATTGTTACCACCATCATGCTGAACCAAATTGACAATAAACTATTTTTTTTAAAAAAGGAAAAAAGGTGAACTTTAGAGACATTAAATTCTTTGTTGAAGATCACACTGTTAACACATACATAGCAGAGCTGGGACTTAACCCTTAGTCCATATGACAGCATAATTATCATGAAAGCCTGTAAACTCTAGAAGACCAGGAAACAGGTCTATCTGCTGTTACTAGAACTTAGCACCATGCCTTGCACCTACTAGGGAGTATCAGTATTTGCTGAATAATGGAAAAAAATTGAGTGAACTGGAAAAAGACTTCTTTGCATTGAATGTAAATTATGTTATTTTCATTTGTTTTACCATTGGCAAAGAGGAATCATTTGTCAATGTTTTATTTTTTGGGTTAAAGTATGTGATGTTAGCTAGGCTCTTGCCTTTTTAGTTTGCAATCTAGTTTTCATGTTTGTATTTAATCGCTCAAACATTAGAGTAAGCTGTCGTGGATATTAGTGCTTTGATTAAGGTCTTAGACTGTTAAAAGCTAGGTTTCCCATAAGCACAGCAATTTAAATTGAATTAAATGTTTAGCTTTTTCCTTTAATTAAAGTCTTTACAAAATTGGTTATGCATAAATATGGAAGAAGACTGTCTTTAAAATATACAATAGGGGAAGGCAAAAAAATTAAACATGGGGTACAATTAGCTTTCTTTTTTACAAATCTATAACTGTGATGAGTCACTGATTAGCATAATGCTGCATCCTAGCTCTGCTACCAGGCTCAGTGGAAAGCACCTCTTAAATTACCCCGGATTACTGCGTACCGAGCCCGAAGATCCCTCACAGTGTCTGCAGTGTGCAGGCTTTGGAGCTGCTGGGCAACTCAGCAGACTTTTTTCTGTCTTAGACTCACTCACTTCCCTGGCAAGCAAGCCCTAATTATTTTTTGAGATCCATTAAAGGAAAAGCTCCAATTTATGCTTCTAAGATTCTTGCTGTTAGTTCCTTTTCTACTTTTTTGCCTTCTGGCCAAGAATAAAGAGAGAGAAAATCTGTAGCCTTTTAAAATCCCCACTTTAATTGAATATCTTGCTGTTGTCTTTTCTTTTTCAATCAGTTTGTTTCCTACCAATCCACTTCAAAGCCTGAGACTGTGTTGTTTTTCTTTACTTACATAAGAACTCTTCATCTTTCTGACTGCTTTTCTGAGCAATAGTCATGTGGACTTTTTAACTTGAATCACTAAGATCAAAAATCATACTTCCCCTGAATGATTCTTATCAAGATTCCTTTTTGCACATAAACTCCCAGTAGACTCAACCAGTCCTTGAAAGAATTCACAAATTCAAGTTTGAATCCAGATTTGTCAGGATAGGAATTAAAACACACGTAAACAGAATTCCATGCTTTAAAGCAGCTGTGCAGTGATTTCTTCACAGGGCTCCCCTGATACTTTTAAATTACTTAATCACTCTGCAACCGTCTCCAGGCCACACAGTGGCTAGATTTTTAGACTTACCTCATAGGATTTATTTCCTAATCCTTATGCCAAAGAAGAACTTAATTTCCATTTTCCTCTAATTTGAGGACACCAGGATAGAACATCTATGCCAATCAAATGGAATGAGTAATACAATGGGAATATTATTCTTCACAACTCGACAATTCTGCTGATCTGTATGGAATTTACTAGGAGGATTCTCACTAATAACTTAAATAGGATGATATCATTGCCTGCTCATGTGAACCAAAATATAACCGTTTTCTCTCTTCTTTCCTCCTCCCTTTTCTCTCCCCACTTCCCATTCTCTCTTTCTTTCTCTTTTCCTGCTCCTCATTCCCTCTTATCCTAAACAGGGTCCCCGTGGTCCTGAGGGAGCACCAGGAGAGAGGGGCTTACCGGGAGAAGGATTTCCAGGGCCAAAGGTAACAATACCTCCAGTACCATGAAAAAAATGCTTGGCCTTGCATGCTCATGATTTGCAACTTTAAAACAATGGGTCCTAGCCAATTACCAGAAGTCAAGTATTTTCCTGACCACCTTCACCCTATTAAATGAAGGAAGACGTAAGTTCTTCCTTAACATGAAACTCTGGTGAAATTTGCAATCATAAATAACTGACAGACTTTTACTTCATATAATTATTGCATGTGAAATGAGAAAGCTCTCTTAAAGTAATTTGTTGTCGTTAAAGCCACAGTGATAAATAGCATCATTATGCCCAGAAGTTATTGAGCGCAGCTAGGACAGAAGTTTACTCACAGCTTTGTTTTGTGAAACATAGATAAGAAACTAATACGGCAATTTGTAATCATTTTGTCATTAGCATAATAAGAAAGGAAATGTGGAGGGGGGAGTGAGGGCACTGGAATTACCTTGTTATAATAAGGAGCAAAAAGCTATGAAAAACATACCTTTTACCTGGCAATTGAGAATTTAAATACTTCTACCGCTTCCCCTATATAATTGTTGGTGCTCAAGTTTCCCCTGGACCTTGAGGAACCCTCTGGGGTTGGCACACTTTTTCCATAAAGATAATAAATATTTGTGAGCAGTATGGTATCTGTCGTGACTATGTAACTTTTGCTGTTGTAGCATGAGAGCAGTCATCAGCTCTATAAATGAGTGAGTGTGGCTATATTCCAGTAAAGCTGTGTTTACCAAAAACTATAAACAGTGAGCTCGATTTGGCCAGTGGGCTATAGTTTACTAACCCCGGTCAAGGCTGCTTACCCACAATCTACCAAAGGTCACACACAGGCCACATACTTTGAGCATCAACAAAATTTCGGTAAATAAGAAAACATTTTGAGGGTTCTTTTCCCTTCTTTTCTGAAGCCTTCCCCCAAACACACATGTATGCACACATGCACCACCCAGAGAAGCACATGCTGTTTTCTTTCTTTCTTTTATTTTTAATGTTTATTTATTTTTTAGAGAGAAAGAGATAAAGAATCCCAAGCAGACCCTGTGTTGTCAGCATGAAGCCCAACATGGGCTTGAACCCTCGAACCATGAGATTATGATTTAAGCCAAAATCAAGAGTTGGATGCTTAACCAACTGAGTCACCCAGGTGCCCTGCACATGCTGTTTTCTTAAGTGTCTAAGAACTTCCACTTTAGTCAGTCAGATTGCTAAGATCTCAGCTTCTCAGTATAGCCTCATGCTCCAAAACTGCATCTCATTCTTAGCCTTTTCCACCATGATCAATATTCTATTGTCTATGAGATACCTGAATCCCAACTAGAGGGAAATCAATTAGCTAAAACCTAATTCATACTAAGTTGTGAGTGACTGCTGGGTTGAATTTTAAAAGAGGCCCTCATTAACTAACAAACTTTAATTTATTATAATAAGTGGAAATAGTATGTAGGATAGAAGGGACATTACTAATGCCCTGACCGAATCAGGGTATCACTCTCAGAAGACAGAGGCTGACAACTTAGCCCTACATTTCAAAATGTTTTATAATACATAATTTCTTGAAATTTTTTTGGCATATAGTAAATTTCTATTTATGGGTAGTCCAAATAACCTGGGAAATTCAAATAGCCAGGGTTATTTCTCTTTACAATCTGTGGGGGGTTTTAAGATAAATATATGAGAGGGGCACCTGGGTGGCTCAGTTGATTAAATGCTCAACTCTTGAGTTCGGCTCAGGTCATGATCTCATGACTCGTGCATTTAAGCCCTGCGTCGGTCAGACTCTGTACTGACACTGTGGAGCCTGCTTGAGATTCTCTCTCCCCCTCTACCCTTTCCCTGTGTGTGTGCTCTCTCATTCTTCTCTTTCAAAATAAATAAATAAAAACATTTTAAATAAATGAATTAATAAATACACAAGAAATGAATAAGTGAAATACGGGAAGCATATTGCAGAGTGTGTCTTAGTGACAGGTTCAACAGTATGTTATAATGATACACGCTTATTCATAATAAGCCACAGCACTGTGTTACCCTCTATCTCATCACAGAAAGAATGCATAATATTCAGTGCTATTTTAGGATCGATTGTATGTAATTATACTCTGTGGTAATGATTGGAAGAACCCATTAGTTAGAATACTTCATTCCCCAACCGGCAGGACCAAGGGTAGTTTTCTATGTGTGCTACTTGGGGTTACTTTGCACTGACATAGAGCTTAAGTGAATAAATTATGACTCTAGAGGGACTTGAAGGTTCATTTTCTTGTTTCCTAGGTTTCTTGTGTTTTTCATTTTACACTTGGCTTAAACAAATTCATGAAATGAATGCTATTTCTAATTGATTATATGGTTTATTTTGCATACAAAAGCACAGAATGTCATGACTTTATTGGTAGGACATCACGATCAGAACTATTCATACAGGTCACGTGACTATGAAGCCTACCCAAGAAGATTTTCTATGGGTTCACTTAAAAACTAAATTTTCAAAGAATGTTTACACATTGTGATATAAAATATATAACCGGTAACTATATACTGGCAAGTATTAGTTCATATTGTAATATGAGTGACAAATTTTCATTGTGTGATGGATCTAGCTGCATCAGTGGTGAGGGAATGGAGGATTGATCAATTTGTTGTACCATATGGTACATTTCTAGATTGGGAATGGAGTTCTTTTCCAAGGTTAGTGATGCTGCATACGTGTTCTGTTTGGATAGCTTCCTTCCTATTTAATAGTATTAAACCAAATTATATGTATTTTGCATGTTACAAAGCTTGGCATCAGTGAGAATTACCTATTTGCAGTGAGCAGTGAATCTGGATGCTTTGCATACTTCAACTGTTTTTAAATCCTGATTTTTAATAGTATACTGATATTCTTTCCATATATATTTTTAGGGTGAAAAAGGCTCTGAAGGACCAATTGGCCCACAAGGATTGCAAGGCCTGTCAATCAAAGGGGATAAGGTACTGCATATGCGGTATACAATGGGAAAGATGCACCAGTATAATTATTTTTATTCCTTGTTCTTTATACATGTACATTTATGAACTGTATTCAGCCTAACAACCCTATCACATATGTATCCAGGTAATTATAAATCAAGTATATGCAGGGTATATTGTTATGTGGGATGAAAGATGATCTGAAAAATCCCATCATTTATATTTATAGTAATGGCTCATCTATTTGGGTTTTGACTTCCAAAAAACCTATCTTCAGCCAAGCAACTTTGCAGCCAAACATGAGCAAAACAGACCCCTTCTTAGTAAAGAAAATAGTTTTTAAAAACATTGACTTGACCCCATTACAGAAAGTCCATGTCCATCCTTAGACACTCACTCAAAAAAACATTACCGGGGTGCCTGCATGGCTCAGTCGGTTACACCTCCGACTCTTGATTTCACCTCAGCTTGTATCTCATGGCTTGTGAGGCTGAAGCCTGTGTTGGGTTTGGGATTCTCTCCTTTCTTTCTGCCCCTCCCTCAATCATGCTTTCTTTATCTCTCACTCTTTCTCTCTTTCAAAATAAATAAACTTTTAAAAATGGGTCTAACATAAGAGAACTCATTTAAGAAACCTAGTGCTGGTGCCTTCCTACAGGACCAAGAGGGATCCACCTGTAGTTGAACAAAGTTAGGTTTATAGACTCATTGCAGTGAGGGAGACCACATACCGTGGGGGAACCCATCACTACTCAGTAAGAAGATGAAAGTTTTCTTTACAGGACTTGGGCTTGTGTTAGGTGATTTGGGGAGTGTCTAAGAAAGTACAGGTTGGCTTTGGATTGGACACTGCAGGGAAGTGAGGTAATTTTAAGATTGGGTGTTTTAATGACTCTTATCTAGGAGGTGGGAAAAATGGAGTCAGGTTTAGCTATAACTGGTAGAAAAAAATAGCAGTGATTCATTTTAGATCGTATAGGGGAGTGTTTTATCACTTTGCTGGGAATGGGTTGTTTGGACGTTGTTTTTTGTTTTTGTCTGTGCTCGGGCATGACTACAGATTGCTCTTGCTTTTATTTTGGTTCATTACATAGAATGTTCATATCTGACACCGGTAGCCTGTAAAACTGTTTATGCTCAACACCACGGCCTACCTGCCATTGCTAGTCTCGCTAGTTGCTTATCTTCTTTAAAATAGGTACAGATTGTGCCCAGATTAGAAGTGCTACTGAGGCTGATGATAGAAGCTGCTGGAGGCTGATAAGGCCCAACAGACCAGAGGGAAGAGAAAGCTGCCAGAGGGACAGATGATATAAGAAATATGCAAAACCAGATAATTCATATCAATTTGGAGTTATTTATATGTTAATTTCTAAGCATATCATCACATTATATAATACATGACAATAATGACTTATATTCATGATTATCTTAGGTGCTGTGTTTCAATTTTGAAATACTTATTTATTTTCTGGTACCTGTCTCTTCTGTGTATCTGTATTTAAAAAGCAGAGAAGCTGGTAAAAAGTGACTTATACAAATTTTAGTAGTAATACAATTCTTGGCTCAAATAGCTCAGCCCTGGTTGTAACTCCAGCTCCTAAAACTATGTAAGACTGTAATTCCTAAAAATATGTAAGATGCTCCTTCTTCCTATGGAGCAGTGAGAACTGAGTACAACAGAACTATTGTTTTATGAGTTTAGTACATTAACTTTTTTAGGCATTGTCATTACGGCGGTTGTTACTTTTACATCGGCAGCTCATGCAAAGAAAACACATTGAAATATCAGATGTGATCACATACAATTACAAGGCTTTCATCTGCTATTTCCTTACCAAATCAATACCAGCTTGGCTTTCCCTGCCCCCTTCCTTTTCTATTCTCTTATATATAATATTAGATCCATTCTGTGATTCAAGTGATAAGATAAACACCTCTATGATAAGAACTCCCAAAAAAAATGTAATTGGACCGAAACAAGAAAGTAGTTTTGATACAGATATTAAATGTAAATGATAATGCACAAAAGGAAACTCTCTTACATATTCGTTGAATACTTGCAGAACAGTGGTTATCAGTTGGGTTCTGGAGTCAGAAAGAGTGAACTTGAATCTTGTCTCTGTCATCTAACAGTTGTGTGACTGGGGTAAGGGACTTAACCTCATCTGGAAAATGGGGATGCCAACTTTCAAAGTGTTGTTGTGAGGATTGAATGAGATAAAGCATGAAAAGCATAGTGCCTGCCACTATGATAAGCAATCAAGTTCTGACTCAGAATAATTCAGCTCTGAACAAGAACTTGGGTCCATTACATTTTTCCTTGTAAGATATCTATCTGTTCAGACTAGGGGCTGACACAGAGTGAAACACTCAGAAGCATACTCCAAGGCATGTTCTAATGACAGGCGCCGCACTTTTAAAAATTCCATAAAGTATTATTTAATGATACAATTAAAAAATTGTTTTAAGTTTATTTATTTTGAGAGACAGAGAGAGCAGAGGAGGGGCAGAGAGAGGAGAGAGAGAATCCCAGGCAGGCTTTGTGCTGTCAGTGTGAACCCACGAACTGTGAGATCATGATCTGAGCTGAAACCAAGAGTTGGATGCTTAATCAATTGAGCCACTCAGGCGCCCCTAGCGATACAATTTTGCTTATAAAAACATGTTTATTTAGCCCAGGTATTGGCAAACTAGGGCTGGCTGCTTGTTCTTATAAATAGTGTTTCGAGAACACAGGCACACCTGTTCATTTAGGTATTGGCGGTGGCTGCTTTTGCACCACCAAAGCAGCATTCATTAATTATGATACAGACCTTATTACAGCCCTTGAAAATAAAATATTTACTATCCAGCCATGTAAGAAAAAGTTTACAGACCTTGGTGTAGCCTAAATTAACTAACATTTGAATATCTGATATGCCTGCTGACTCTGTTGGTAGAGCATGAGACTCATGATCTCAGGGTTGTGACCTGAAGCCACACACTGGGCGTGGAGCCTGTTTATAAATAAGTAAGTAAGTAAGTAGATAAATAAATAAATAAATAAAAAGATAAAATATGCATCACATTGTGCCTTTGCTGTTCTGGGCTCTTCCTGTATCATCCTTGTAATGGATGTTTTCTCTGCCTGGAATGCTTTTCCTCTGTGTTTCTACTGGGTTCATTCCCTCTCTCCAGCAAAGCCATCCCTGGCCACCTTATCCAAAATTGTCACTATTTCCCCCTTCCCTGATTTATTTTTCTCCTTAGCACTTATCATTCTTTAACATATTATTTATTATATCTATCCTGTTTACTCTCTTCTGTTTTTCCTACTAAAACGTAAGCTCTATGAGAACAGAGACTTTTTTTTTTGGCTGCTTAGGTCACTGTTGTTCCCCAGTGTATGGAACAATTCCCAGCACATAATAGGCACCCACTCGTATCTGCTGAAACACACAAAGAATGAATGAATGGTAGTGTTCTTCTGGCTGATAACTCTCACTTAGTTTCCCAAATTTATTTCATAGAAAGGAAAGGTGAGGTACTTCAGTTCTGTTGCATTTACCTTAGATAACGTCTTAATTTTTAAAGTATATTTTAATAAGGTGTGGAGGGGAAAGGTGTTTAGATAATTTTAAAACATTTCTCTTCAAGTTCTCTCTCAAATCCTGATTTTCTTGTACCCTATGAATACTACACATTTAAATATTTCTGTTGTAATCCTGACAGAAGTGTTTGTGTCATTATAATAACCATTTAGGAATTTTAGGTTTCTGTGAGAAAAATGATTGCTAAATATGAACACGTGCAAATAGTCACCAATTTAGACTAAACAGTGAAACTAGCATTCACTATTTCGGCAAACTTGAACTATAAACTTTTTAAAAGAAAGAGTTTTCATGGGGCACCTGGGTGGCTTAGTCGGTTAAGCGTCCCACTTTCGCTTGGGTCATGATCTCGCGGTTCGTGAGTTCAAGCCCCGCGTCGGGCTCTGTGCTGACTGCTGGCTCGGAGCCTGGAGCCTGTTTCAGTCTGTGACTCCCTCTCTCTCTGACCCTCCCCTGCTCACGCTCTCTCTCTCTCTCTCTCTCCTAGAAATAAATAAAACATAAAAAAAAAAAAAGAGTTTTCTAACTTTTTCTGTTGAACTATTTTATGGTATAGATGGATTTCAATTAAATATAATTCAAGGTTAGCAGAGTATGAAAGAATGAGGTTTATTGGTATATTTCTCACTTATTTTCTCAACAGGGGGATTTGGGACCTGTGGGACCCCAAGGGCCAATGGGCATCCCTGGAATTGGGAGTCAAGGGGAACAGGTAATCCACACTTTCTCCCTTTCTCTTCCATACGGAGCATTCTGACCCAATCCTGGTGTTCATTAAAAGCCAATCTTGCAAACACCCATGAGTGTATATAATAGTCGAAGTACAAGCAGATGTACATCCAAAAGTGAGTGTAGAGAAGGAAAAGATGGTTCTAGGAGATTTCCTTTCCTAGAACTTCCAAAATGTGTGTTTCTTGGAGCTGTGACTTTTACCCTTCATGTCTAATTAACAGGATACGAGTTTCAGAGTGAGTTTATATTTTTAGTTTTCCTTAGGAGCAGTGGTTTATTTACCTGTGTATTTTCCCCTTGAGGCTTTGTGAAAGATTAAATCCCACTTTCTCCCAATATCAATAGAGTAGTCTTTCCTACTCTCTAGCCATGTACCAATCTAAAAAAAGTACTAAACTTAAAAAAATTACTAAACTTAAAAAAAGAACTAGACTTGGAGGTAACCACTTAATTTAAGGGGTACTCTTCCTGAAACGAAGCAAATCACAGATAGGGTTTATAAGTAACATTTGGCCTCTCTCGGTCAGAGGAAAGGAAAGCTCTCTGAGGATATCTTTACAGTCACGGCTGGAACTGCTTCTCAAATCTTCTGACCATAACTTTTGGAAAAGCTGGGCAATTTTATTAGATCTGAATAATATAAAGATAATATAATAGATAATAAAATAGATACTATAATAGATAATATAACCTACCTACAGATTCTCATTTAATCAAAGTGATGAACAAATCCAAATTTATGCTGCATGTCCTCCTGTATAGAAAGTAGCCAATCTGTTGATTAAGATTTATGATTAAGGTTTGAATTATTCTGTTGCCTAGAGAATGAGTAGTGCTTCCCTTATCTAGGACGGGAAAAGATGATTAAAAAAAAGATGTAATTCCAAATCTCACTGCTGACGTTAACTCTAGGTTTATTTCTAAACATCTACTAATTAATTAGTATTTTTGTTGTTATTATTGTTAAACTAAGCAACAGCAAAGCTGGATCTTACTCTTTCCATTTCCTTTCACCTGGTAGAAATCCTAAGAATACTTAGGAAGATTGAGACGCAGGAAAAGCCAAGATAAGTCTGTCTATAAGTATTTAGGTAATATCTAAGAGCTGGCTATTTTGAGCACCAAGGATTGTGGTTCGATTATGGCATCAGGCAGTCTCACACTTTGTAGTTTATTTGTTAATTTCATCCAGGCTTACATTCTGGTCCTGGCTGTGACTGGACAGGCGTGTTGTTTCCTGAGTCATGGTCCTGGTGCTGAGTTGCCACTGTAGGACTGAAAATGAGGTTCAAGAAACCCCGAATCTTTCCAGATGGCCTGTGAATTCTGGACCTCCTACCTGCAACTCCCTGTTGCTTTTACTACTGGATCTTGGTTGATGTTGTGCTTCAGATTAAAAAACATCTCTGACTTCTTTTGTTTACTCACCCCTTTCACTCCTTTTCCAAAAGAAAATAACTTTTAAGGTAGGCATATCCATATGGAGCTGACTCCTATCAAGTAGGGAGATTGAATAGAATGTGCTATTTATAAACTGCTTTGAACAAGAAAATAATTTGTTTGCCCTTTAAAGACAAATGATTTAAATCCTACTTACATGTAACCTCTGTTTACACAGTTATTCATTTTTCTTCTTATCCTTAATTGAACATGTTTATTCACTGAATTATTGTTTTTGCTAGGTCTCCCTAATTCTCTTCTAGACATCAATTTTCCCACTCATCTGTTTTGGAGGGAACTCCTGTTTTTAGGAATGTGTTTATAATATACTTCAAACGGCCTGCCTATTTTCACTACACGTTTGGAGATTTGACAACTTCAAATCTGTTATAGATTGGAGTGAAAAACAAATAACCACATACAAATAGATGCACATGTCCCTTTGAATTTTTTGGTCCCTGTCACATACCACGCTACTTCTTGACTGTTGTAAACGATTCCTTCTAATAACAACATTGTAATTCCTTCTTATAATAAACTTTGCTTTCTTAAATTGTTTATATTGCTTCATCATCATTAACCAGAGAAAAGGGGACTCATATTTATAATTAAAAAATAAACAAACAGTTGTATCATCCAGCTGGAGAAAAGGGGATGCCATTTGTAATAAAATAATCCCATATCTGTAACCATTATTTATACAAGCATGGCTTGTGAGGTGTAAGCAAAATAAAATTTTAGTTTTTTTGCTCATCATTCCTTAAATATCTTTCAGTGGGGAAAGTTTTTTCTTTTTCCTACCATGGAAGAAATTACCATCAAGTCTGACTTTTCTTAATCACTTCTAGGCAATAAAATTTATTGTGTCACCTCTAAGTTGTAAATCACAGTTTTAATTGTGTCATAAAACTTATATAGTCAGGATGTTAAGTTTCCTTTTAATCTTCCTTTGTCTGTTATGAGCTGTAAGGGAGAGCCTGTGGTCCATGGGAGGGAATGTGCTTCTCACCCCCTGCCCCCCGTCCCTCAGGCTGAGAGTAGAGGGGGAGGACACAGAGGCTCTTTCCTGGCTGGTCTACTGTCACGTGGTTTTGGATCCTCTCGTCTTGACAGATGTTTGACACAGTTTCCTTGTGGGGCTCCTGCCTTGCTCGTGACTGTCACTCTCAGGACTTAGAAGAAGACCTCTCTTCGTCCCGTTGTTTCTTCCCATCAACGTCTTCTTTTCTGGGGCTTTATTTTATACTGACTCTGTTGGAGTTCCACAGCTCTTCCCGGTCCTCTTGGACAGGATTCAACACAATTCCAGGCCAGCCCTGTCTCTCACCCAGAGTACATCTGGTCCACAGGAAAAACCTAGCACGGCCTTCGTGCTGACAGGCTCTGCATGGATGGGCTGATTGCTACCTCTCCTCCCCCCATGCCCTCTCTTGACTCTCACAGTCCATTCAGTTTAGCTCTCCCAGCTATGAGTCGGACACAGATCCCTTGTGTCCCCCAAGCAAAAATCAAGGTCAATGAGTAGTTTCAGTGAAACTCTCTTTCTAGAATAGGAGAAAGAGAGAAGCAACCCAAACCCCTCTCATTTTCTACCAAGAAAACACTTTACAAGACTACTTTCTCCAAAGAAGAATCTAGTAAATCCTGTCTCTTTCCCCTTTTTATGCACACAATGTAAGTGAGAGTCTAGTGTTTGAACATCCTTCAGTTTGGTGTCTATAGGCTATTGCTTCTTAGAGCCTATGGTCAAACTTTCAATTTAATATCCTGATATATTTTCACCGATGCAGCTAGAATATAGGTTTGCTTGCATGTGACTGAGATGGGAAATAGGTTAACAAGATGGAATTTTGTTTCTCTTATTTGAAACTTCAAGCTTGTGAGGTGGCTCTGTTCATCAGTCTTCAGCAGTTCAGTGACCCACATGAGTCTACCCATCCAAGGGTACTTTCCTCACCCGCATGATCCATGATAACCTCTATGTCTTCACTTTAGCCACCAGGGCAGGGGGACATGGAAGGGGAAGGCATACCTCTTCCTTTATCATGAATCGGAAATTGCACACATCACTTCCATTCATATCCCATTGGCCAGAACCCAGTCCATACACCAGTACCTGGCTGCAAAAGGGACTGGGGAACATGGTCATTATTCTAGGCAGCCATGCAGGTCAGCTAAAATTCTCTTACTATGGAAAAGGGGGAGAATGCATAATATGGTGCAACTGGCAGCCTCTGTCATGCCCTTCAACAAATAGTGAGGATGAGTTATGTACTATGAGATGTGAACTAAAATTTCACATTAGAGGATATGAAGCTACTCTTATCCAAATTTCCGAATTTCACTAATACTATTTTCAAACATTTTATTTTAAAGGGAATCCAAGGTCCTATGGGTCCACCTGGCCCACAAGGACCCCCAGGACAAGGCTCACCTGGTTCCAAGGTAACTTGCTAAGTGAAAGCAGAGTTTAATACATCCCTAGTCTAACTGCTGTTTCCTGGTCAGGAGCCAGTGCATTGGGAAAGCACCAGGCGAAATGAACTTAAAAGTCAGATTTCTGCGTAATGAAAACATGACTGGTATTCCTGATGGTTTAGATAATGTAATGTGTATTCTTTATGCTCTTAGACACATTTATTTATGCCAGCTCAATTTATCGTTTTATTACTTTTTCTTGAGAGATCCTATTCTAGCAATTTAAGCAGGGTTATCAGTGGGCTTGCTAATTCATTCTGACCAACACTCCCACAACAGATCGAACTACTGAAACATTTAACTAAAGATATAGAGTCAGAAATAAACAAAACTTTTCTATGAATATGGGAATCACATTACGTCCTAAATTAGATCTATGATTTATCCCTTAGGGAGAGGCATGGCACTTATTACATAACTAGGTATCCTTAATATTGCTTCACTAATCATCGTTAAATAAATACTCTGAGAGTAGTCACCTTCCAGTGCACTCTTTAGAGATTCCCATGTGACAAGCACTTGACAGAATAGTTACTGTTCTTGAGACTTCTGATCTGGGCTCACCATTGGGAGCTCATGTTATTCTGTCTGTTCACGATATTGCCCTTGATTAGCAATCCCTTGGGCTTCTCATGTATCAATTTTAGTTGTTGTGGAATGGATATATTATATATATAATATAAATAATAATATAGCTACCTATATTCTAGGCACCGTCCACCTTTTAGGTATGCTACCTAACCTATATTTTAGGCCAGTCCATTATATATTCCAAATTTGATAAAATGCCTATCATTTTAAAATCACCTAAAGCAATTTTAGGTATATATATGTATTTGAATGATATAGAAGCATATACTTAGGTAACATAATCAATAAATTAACATACCTTAATATTTTACATTACAATATATTGTGAGCATTAATATTCATAATCTAATCAATATATATTCAAACACATATATATGAATTGAGGACACAAAGCTCCATTTGATCTTATTGTGTTGGTATAAGACAGCTCTTGCCTCTTAAGGCAGGAATATTTTTATATTATAAAATATCATATATGTAATATATTTTTACATTATAAAAGTAAAATTACTTTTATTTTGCTGCTGTAGTCACATACTCTTCAAATGCTCTTCCCTCACTAGGGAGAAGTAGGCCAGACGGGAGCAACAGGTCCCAGAGGGCCGGTCGGAGTTGGGGTACAAGGCCCAAAGGTGAGCTGACCATCCCGAGCAGAAGCACTTACATAATTTACATCATATGATATAAAGTTTCATTTATATCCAAACGCAGTACAGATCACGCATGTGTTGTTATTTCGTCAGAGAATATTTGTTCGGAAAAGTGGCTGATGCTCGGTCTAACTCCTATCGTTTAAGAAGAACCAATCGTCTTAGTTTAACAACTGCTCTCTGTTTTTTATTTGTCTATTTGTTAGCATCAGAGGGCCTTTTTTGGCATAGAGTGGTGCTTTGAGAACGTTCTTGCCTGCCTTGTTGTAAAACAGGGCACCCAGCAGGGCGGGAGTGCAGCGAAATATACATCCCCCATCTTGCTTGCGGCTGGCTCATGGTTCACGTGCAAGCTCAGAAGCTGCTTCCTCAGAATGTCATTCCCTAAGCCTCACGCATGCCTACCCATCCTATCACCCAGGTATTTTATGTCTCAGCACACGGTTTCCTTTGCTTTTTCCACTGACCTCAACTTGCATGATTTCTGAATTGCTTCTCGGCTGGCTAATCACTCGAGAATTGCCCTGGCCAACATCGCAGCCACTGGCCACAAGTGGTAACTGAACGCTGGAAACAAGTTGAGTGTGTAGTGAGATGTGGGATAAGTGTGAAACACACACCGGGTTACAAAGCTTGGCACAAAGAACGTGAACTGTGTCATTAGTACATTTGCATATTGATTACATATTCATATGATGAAATTTCAGAGATGTTAAAGTAAGTAAAATACATTATTAGAATTATTTTCACCTGTTTCTCTTAACTTTGTAAATGTGGCTACTAGAACAGTTACAATTGCATAGCTGGCTTGCTTTACACTACACTACTGAATAGTGCTTCTCACCGGTGGTAGGGACCTGGTTTATTTTTTTGTATTGTTTATTAGTGAATTCCCTGTTTTGGGGACATGATAAGTACTCAATGAATGCTGTTAAGTAAATGAATGAATTCTTACTTTACCCTCCACAATTTCTATAACTAATCCTGAAGGCATATACGACCTGGCTAGTCACAATGAGGATTAAACTCCATCATCGTCTCTGCTGATGTTGTCACTGTTTGTATAAGTATTTGGGTTGGTTAAGATGTGGGTCTAGAAGAATATACATGTTACGTATACAGAAACATATAATTACAAAGGATACAAAGCATACCAATATAAATAGCAATTACTACTATAAATCAATGGTAGTAATAGCTGCCATTTGTTGAACGGTTTTGACGTGCCACCCAATATGCTAAGTGCTAACTGTGACATATATGTATCACCGTACATTTATGTAGTGTACGGATCCGTACAGACACATGTCACATCATTCATGTACCAGTTTCAGAAAGGCAGTAGAGGATAAGGCTCAGCAGTTAGATTCCTTGTCTAAATCCCAGTTTTGCCACTAACTAGATGAACAATCATCAGCTTCTCTCACTTTAGAAAAGGGAATCTTTCAAACATACTCAAAAGTACAGAGAAAAAAAAAAGCCACGTATACCACAACTCAGCTTTATCCAATGCTAACATTTTGCTTTATTTATTCTAGCTATTTTTTTTAATATTTTTATTTATTTCTAGGAGAGAGAGAGAGACAGCGTGAGCAGGGGAGGGTCAGAGAGAGAGGGAGTCACAGACTGAAACAGGCTCCAGGCTCTGAGCTGGCAGTCAGCACAGAGCCCGACGCGGGGCTCGAACCCACGAACCGTGAGATCATGACCTAAGCAAAAGTCGGACGCTCAACCGACTAAGCCACCCAGGCGCCCCTCTAGCTATTTTTTTAAGAAGAAGCATTACAGGGGCGCCCGGTGGCGCAGCTGGTTAAGCATCCTACTCTTGGTCTCGGCTCAGGTCATGATCTCACATGATCTCACTGATGGTGCAGAGCCTGCTTGGGATTCTGTCTTTCCTTCTCTCTGTTTCTCCTCTGCTTGTGTTCTCTCAAAATAAAAAAAAAAAAAAACTTTAAAAATGAAAAAATAGAGTTTTATTAAAAGAGAAGAAGATGAAGATGAAGACAATGATGATGACGAAGATGAAGACGAAGCATTACAGATACAGCTAGAGGCCTTTGGTTGTGCTCCTCAATCTCATGGCACCTCCCTACCCTCCCCAGACATAATTACTTTCAGGACTTGGGTATTTATCATTCTTTCAAAGTTTTTATAATTTTCCTACATGTTTTTTATCCATAAACCACATATAGCTTTTGTGTGTTCTTGAGCTTTACATAATGTATCATTCTGCCATATGTTATATCCAGGCTCATGTCTTATTTGTTTCTCTATACTTTTAATTTATTCATTTTCTTTGCTCTATGGTAGTCTGTTGCATTAAAATATCTCATTTAAAATGTATCCCTTTTCCTATTAATTGGCTTTAAGTTGCTTCTCATTTTTTGCCTTTGCCAGTTGTGTATGTCAAGCTGCAAATTTCTCTCACTAGTAGGTGATAAATACTATAAGCAGAATTGGAAGATCATAGAGCATAGGCAAGTTTTCGCTGGTGACATGGTGAAAATCCTGTCCAAAACAGATGATGGGTAAAGTGGTTCTGCCCATTTACCCTCCTTACAGCAATATATGATAACACTCCTTTCTCTACCTTCTGGCCAGTAGGAAGTGTATGTGATAGATCTCATTGTTTTAATTTCTATTCCCTGGTAATTGTTTGAACAGATTTTATGTGCTTAATGGAACTTCAGCTTTTCTCTTTGGTGAATTCCTATAGATATTCATTTTTTAAAAGGTTTAGTGTTTTTTTTCTTATCAATAGCTCTTTCTATATCTGGATATTGATTCTTTGTTGTTTAGGTTGCTGATACTGTCTCCAAGGCTATGGCTTGTCTTTTTTACCTAGAGTACCTTTTAGTATACAGAAGTCCTAAATTTTGGTGTATTTCTACCCCATTATAGTCTGAACTTTTTTGAGTAGTATACATTTCTTGACTCCAAAGTCATAAAGATCCTCATGTATTTTCTTCTTAAAACTGGTGTTTTTGCTTTTTAAAATTTAGGTCTTTAGTCTTTAGTCCACTTACAGTTTATGTTTGTAAATGGGCAATGTAGGAGTGATCTTTTCTTCCCCATATGGATAACCAGCTATCCTCACGTCAGTTACTGAGCAGTCCAGCTTTGCTGCACTGACGTGCAGCTCCCCCCGTGTCATATGTCAAGCTTCTGCATGTGTGAGGATCAGGGCCAGAGTGCTCTATTCTGCTCCATTTGTCTATTTATATCTCTCAGAGCTATTACATCCCTATCTTATGATCAATTTATAATAAGTTTTATCATCAACAGGGAAAATAAACTCAACCACTTACCTGGTTATTCCTGAATCTAACATACTCATTTCAGGATTGATTTGTCAAATTTGACAAAATATCCCATTGGGGTATCCGATTGGCATTGCATTGAACCTTGATATTAAATATTGAATCTTTCAGAGTCACCTGGGTAGTTCAGTCAGTTAAACATTTGACCTCAGCTCTGGTCATGATCTAACAGTTCATGGGTTCGAGCCCCACATCAGGCTTTGTGCTGACAACTCAAAGCCTGGAGCCTGCATTGGATTCTGTGTCTCTCTCTCTCTCTGCCTCTCCCCCACTTGCTCTCTGTCTCTCTCAAAAATAAATAAAACATTAAAAAAAATTTAAATATTGAGTCTTTCAAACCACAAAGTAAATCTAATTTTCCAGGAAAATGTTTGTCATTTTATCCATAAAGAACTTGTAGTTTTTCAGTTAAAAAGGTACATTGGAGGGGAGCCTGGGTGGCTCAGTGGGTTAAGTGCTGGACATGGGCTTAGGTCATGATCTCACAGTTTGTGGATTCAGCTCTGAGTCGGGCTCCTGCTCCCTCCTGACAGCTCATAGCCTGAAGTCAGCTTCAGATTCTGTCTCTCTCTCTCTCTGCCGTCCCCCCTACACACTCTCTCTCTCAAAAATAAGTACACATTTTTTAAAAAGGTACATTGGAGAAATGTTTTGCGATTGTGAATTGTTTTCTTTTTCTACATCTTCTAATTATCTATTATAGGTCTATAGGAAAAGTATTATTTTGTTGTTGGTGGTGTTTTCCTTGATATATTGATTTTTGTATCCAGTCACCTGATAGTATCTTTTATTATCTTTTTTTTTAAGTTTATTTATTCACTCTGAGAGAGAGAGAGCACAGAGAGAGGGGCAGAGAGAAAGGAGAGAGAGAATCTCAAGCAGGCTTCACACTATTAGCGCGCAGAGCCCAATGCAGGGCTCCATCCCATGAACTGTGAGGTCATGACCTGAGCTGAAATCAAGTCATATGCTCAACTGACTGAGCCACCCAGGCACCTCCCTCTTATTGTTTCTAATTGTTTACAAAGTCTTCTTTTTTATTCCCTGTGTACATAATCATATTGTCTGAAAATAAACACTGTTTTACCAATTTCTTTTTAGTTTTTTTCCTATTCATTTTTGAAAATTATGCACTGACAGGATCTCCAGTGCAATGTGTAAAAGAAGTGATTTCAAAGAAAGTACTTCTAAAATTTCACTCTAAAAAAATTTTTTTTAAATGTTTACTTACTTTTGAGAGAGAGAGAGGGAGAAAGAGAGAGAGAGAGACGCAGAATCTGAACCAGGCTCCAGGCTCCAGGCTCCAAGCTGTCAGCACAGAGCCGGATGGGAAGCTTGAACCCAAGAACCTTGAGATCATGACCTGAGCCAAAGTTAGACACTCAACTAACTGAGCCACCCAGGCATCCCTAAAATTTCACATTTAAGTGGGATATTTGCTGTAGAGTTTTGATAGACAACCTCTATTAGGTTAAGATAATTGCCTTCTGTTTCAATTGTACCAAAAGTTCCTTATTAATTATAAATGAGTATTGGATTTTATCAGATTCTGTCTATACTAAGATAATTGTTTTATGTTTCCCTTTTAACTGGTTAATAGCGGTATATTGCATTTCCAGAAATTTCAGATATTGAATGCATGCTGCATTCTGATCATGATGTATAACTTTTTTATAATAGCAATTTAATCGACTAACCTTTTATTCAGGGCTTTTGCATCCATTTTAAACAATTTCATTTATTGCATAGTTGACATACAATAAAGGCACATGGTTAAAGTGTACACTATGATAAGATGTATATATATGATCTTAAAACCATCACCAAAACCAAATAATTAAAGTACCCATCCTTCACCCCCCAAATTATTATGTGTCCCTTTGTAATACCATCCCTCCATCCCTCCCTAACTTGTCCTACTGATCTGCTTTGCAATCTCTTGTAACTATTGATCTGCTTTCTGTCATTATAGATCAGTTTGCATTTCCTAAAATTTTATATTAATAGAATAATATATCATGTAAGTTTTTTTCTGTCTTCTCTTTTACTCAGCAAAATTACTTTCAGACTCACATTTAACATTTATGAACAGCTTCTTTTTTTAAAATTGTTCTTTTTTTAATGTTTTATTTATTTCTAGGAGAGAGAGAGAGACAGCGTGAGCAGGGGAGGGTCAGAGAGAGAGGGAGTCACAGACTCTGAAGCAGGCTCCAGGCTCTGGGCTGGCAGTCAGCACAGAGCCCGATGCNAAGCAGGCTCCAGGCTCTGGGCTGGCAGTCAGCACAGAGCCCGATGCGGGGCTCGAACCCACGAACCGCGAGATCATGACCTAAGCGAAAGTTGGACGCTTAACCGACTAAGCCACCCAGGCGCCCCGATTTATATTTTTCTTAAAGATTATGAATGTTCTCCAATATATTTGTCTGAAATTTTCATGAAATTTTTCTATAATTTTTATTATATATATAGTTATAGTTCCCTTTTACTCTTAATACTGTTTAACTGTGACTTTTCTTTTTTAGTATTAGTAATTCCTGCTAGTAGAAGCTTATTTATTTTATTAGTTTTTTTTAAAGGTATTGCCCTTTATTTTCATTACTTTTCTTACTTTTGGTTTTCAAATGTATTACTAGCCATTCCTATCATTACCATATCCTTCTACTTATTTTTAGGCTTACTGTACCTTTATCTTCACTAGTTTGTTTTTTTAGTTGAGTTTAGGCGAAATGACTTTCACTTTTTTAAAATATTTTTGTTCTTAATTAATGCAGTAAGTGCACTTTGGCACTGTTTGAAAGTAGCACATATTATCTCTGAACACTTTAAAGGGCTTCTTCTTTCTTTTTTAAATTTTTAATGTTTTATTTATTTCTGAGAGAGAGAGAGACAGCGTGAGCAGGGGAGGGTCCGAGAGAGAGGGAGACAGAATCTGAAGCAGGCTCCAGGCTCTGAGCTGGCTGTCAGCACAGAGCCCCACACGGGGCTCGAACCCACGAACTGTGAGATCATGACCTGAGCCGAAGTTGGACGCTTAACCGACTGAGCCACCCAGGCACCCCAAAGGGCTTATTCTTAAACACAAATTTACTTGAAAGCAAGTAGCAGTATTGAATATTAGAGCTGAAATTGTACTTTCATGTTAATTGCTTAGGGTTGCTATACAAAGAACCACACATTGGTTCAACACAACAGAAATTTATTATCTCACTATTCGAGAGGTTCAAAGTCAAAAATCAAAGTGTCTGTAGAGTCATGCTTTCTCAAAAACCTGTAAGGAAGAATCCTTCTTTGCCTCTGCTCAGCTTCTGGTGCTGGCTGCCAATCCTTGGCATTCCATGGCACCTGGTGGCACCAGTCTTGTCATCACATGGAGTTCTTCCTATATGTCTGTCTTTAACCGAGGTTTCCTTCTTGTTTTAAGTACAGAAGTCATGCTGAAGTCGGGCCCACCCTAATGATTTCATTTTAACTTGTTACATCTACAGACACCCTATTTCCAAACGATGTCACATTCACAGGTACCAGAGGTTAGGACTTCGACGTATTTTTTTGACGTTACAGTTCAATTCAGAACAACATAATCCAAAACTGAGATCCAAGGACGTTAAGTAACTTGCCCAAGGTCAAATAATTTAATTACTACCGGTTACTACTCAGACTTCTCCACTCAGAGGCTTGTTTAAAATGTTGTAAGAAAAATAATTGGTAAGTACCTCAAAATGGTGGTGCATAAATATGAATTTAAATTATGGTAAACATGACATTTATAGATAAATATGAATTTCTGGGAAATAAAATCTTTGCTCATCCACTAGGGGGAGCCAGGCTCAATAGGGCTCCCGGGACAACCGGGAGTCCCAGGAGAGGATGGCGCTGCAGGAAAGAAGGTAACAGTCTGTTTTTCTGTGACTAGAGTAAAAACTATTGAACCCCACTGATACCTTGTCCTGTAGGAGCTCAAAGTAAACCATCTAGGACAAACTTAGTCTTTTTAAGAAAACATCTCACAACTCCATTTCTTTTTCCACTTATTTCAAATAGAAAGAGCACCACTTTAATGGCTGAATAGTGTCTCATGCTCTCTGCTTTCTCTCTGGCATTTCGACCGTGGCATCCTCCAGTGATCTAGTCCCCTTGTGATTCCTGGAAAGTACCTGAATTTAAACTTGGAGAAAAACACTTTTTCCCCTTTCAAAAAGAGTCTGTAAATGCACTCAGGAAGCAAGGCCTTTATAAAGATTTTCTGAAGTAATATGAATTGACATTTGAAATACTCATTTTTCAATGTAAGTAGAGAAAAACAGCAGATGGAAAGGCTGAAGGTCTTTCAGTTATTTTTTTTTTGTTTTGAACCAAACCATCACATGGGAATGATGAGCCAAAGCAAAGTGAGTATATTCTTTGAAACTTGGCTGAGAAATTTGACTTTTTCATATTTCAGTGGCTCTGTGCTCAACCAAAATCTGATATTAATGTATTAAAGTTGGTAGATTTCCAAATTAATTTTAAGACTAGAACGAAGGTCAGGTCTATTTTGGAGGGTCTCAGCAGAGAATCCACTGACCATCAGAGGAGACAAGGGGGGACTGTACGAACCGTCCGTGGAGTCAGCTAAGGCGTCAGTGTCCTCTCATCCAGGGAGAAGCAGGGCTTCCGGGAACGAGAGGCCCGGAAGGACCGCCTGGGAAAGGACAACCTGGCCCCAAGGTACGTAACTGACAAAGTGTTGGGGAGAGCCCACTGCCCGAGCACACAATGCGGGAGACCTGTGGTTGTCAGACTGTTATTCTTGCTAAATCAAATGTGTTCACTTCTGGCTTAAAAGTATGGATCTAGTTTGTCGGAGCTTTTGGAAGACAGCAAGTATGTAGCATTCATTTTTATTTTCACGAGACCCAGCCAATACGAAGAGCTCAACACATATTTTCTCAATAAATGCCCGGACTGACATTTTATTTATTTATTTATTTGTTATTTATTTATTTATTTATTTTTTATTTCTAGGAGAGAGAGAGACAGCGTGAGCAGGGGAGGGTCAGAGAGAGAGGGAGTCACAGACTGAAACAGGCTCCAGGCTCTGAGCTGGCAGTCAGCACAAAGCCCGACGCGGGGCCCGAACCCACGCACCGCGAGATCATGACCCAAGCCAAAGTCGGACGCTTAACCGACTAAGCCACCCAGGCGACCCCGGACTGACATTTTAAAAACATAGAAAAGAAACCTTGAGATACATCCTTGAGACTTGAATGTCCATATATTTTCTTCAAAAATGTATAGAATCTCACAAACTAATAAGAAATAAGTCATATTCCCAACCTTATTAAATGGAGATTGCACTTTCACAACTTAGCATAAATTTATTTTACACATTATAGAAAAGCTGGTTGGATAACATCTTTATAGGTCAAGATGAGAATATCCAAATTCATGAAGACCACTAGTGACATAACCTACAGACTCTAAGGTGCCAGATTTTCCTGTGGTTTTTATGGACAGTCATCATTGTTCATATAAAGATTATGAAGAATTACATAGAAGTAAAGTAAAAATAAAATCCGTATACTTATCAGTGTTCTATTTATAATTGCATTAAAATGATCATTGAAAGTTTAAGAAATTTATATCTTATGCAAATATTGGCTATTGAGTCCTTAACCTTAAATGTGAAAATGTGAAATTTAAATACATTCGTAGAATTTCAAACATTTTAATTTATTGACTTATCAGACTTTGAGATCTCTTTTTTTGTGTGGGTGAATGTGGACAGAGAATACCTTTTTCACATCATACAAAAATGCTTTTAGCAATCCCTGTCTGTTAACATTCAGGAGAACTCATGTTTTCTAGAATATACTTTTGGAAAATAGACCTTTGGAGTTAGTAATTGAAGCCTTAGAATGAATGACATCTCTGAGAAAGAGAGCTGAGGTCTGAATCCCACCTTGTGTTGTAGCTGGAAAAGAACATTCAGAATAGTGTGAAGGTAAGCAGAACAGTTATCATGTTAGGGAAACTGAGGAGACAGGGTTTCGAGAGGAAAGCAATTGTGGTGTCAAATGCTTCCAATAGGGCAAGGACAATGCATTGGAAAGAGATGGCAATGGACTTGTAGCTCTGAAACGATATGTGGCTTATGGAAGCTTATGGAGAAGAGTCGTAGGAATATATCGTGCAGCCCAGGCATGCTATCGTTCAGTGTTGGCACTTTATTACCTTTAATTGGGTTCCTATTGCTGTCTTCTGGGTTATTTAGGTCAGTAAATTAAACTTGGGAGTGAATGGAAGAAAATAACTAGTTGGGGTTAGATTTTGCCTCTATTGGCAAATGATAACGATACAATAAGTTCATCATACAATAACACCCAGCTGTTATTTTTCATTACCTGTGTCACTGCTCTTTATTAGTTTGGACCTGGGGGAGTTAATTACAATCTGTAGGTGTGACAAGAGTTCACCTCTTCTTCATAATGGAGTGTCTGCATTGCTGATGACCTTGGAAATGTGTCAGAAATGTGAATTCTTGGGTTTCAATGCAGATCTACTAAATCAGAAACTCTGGAATGTGGGGCTCAGCAATCTGTGGGGTGACAAGTCCTCCACATGACTCTGATGCACACTTAGGTTTGGAATTGTGGTACAGTCATTTATGTCATAAATGGCTTTAGCTGCAAATCCCCAAGATCATTCCTTTGTTGAGCTGAGCACACATTTAGATAGGATACCTTGCAAATGAGTCCTAGTTTAAGGATAGTTTTGTAATGCTCTGAGCTGTGCGGTTGGAGATCACGAAATTCTTTCAGGGAAGCATTAGCTTACACAGCCAGGCTGGGGAACAGCCAGCAGGCAGTTTCTAACTCTGCTCCAGGTTAATGCTCATGCATCTTTCTACCAATAGAATTCTTGGTTTCCTTTAGGAGATAGAACTAGACTCCTCACTGAGGGAGAAATGGGGCTGGATTTGAAAAATCTGGTTTTCTTCAGTGGGAACATTTCGCATAGCTTTTTCACACTTCACTACCTTGTTGCCATTTCTTTTTAAAATTAAATTTTTTTAATTCAACTATAATTAACATACGGTGTTTTGTTAGTTTCAGGTGTATAATATAATTATTCAACAATTCTATGCATTTCTCAGTGCTCAAGATAAGTGTGCTCTTAATCCCCTTTACCTATTTCACCTATTCTCCCACCCACCTTCCCTCTGGCAACCACCAGTTTGCTCTCTATATTGGAAAATATCTTATTTTATATTTCAACACTGAAGCAGCATTAGAGCTGAAAAAGCATAGGTAGCTCTCTTTTCTGAAACTGTGAATGTCTCAGAGGCATCTCTGAATAAGCCAACAGCGAAAAGAACTGTGAATTCAAGCCGAAGCCCCCAAAGAGAGATACTGAACTTAGATTTTAAAAAATATTAAATCATATTGAATAAGTGGTGAAGACTGAGCAACCGTGAAGCCATGCTATCTGCTCAAGAACATTGACAAAGAGCATGCGCTGAGCGGGACTTGGGGCACGCTGCTAGAAAACCAGTGTCCCTTGATAACATGGTCCCGATAGGGTTGTTATAAGAGCAAGCAGGGTTTGTTAATACAACTGTCTTTCAATAATTATTTCACCAGGGTGATGAAGGGAAGAAAGGGAGCAAAGGAAATCAAGGACAGAGGGGATTTCCAGGGCCTGAAGGGCCAAAGGTACGTTTCTTATATTCTCATTTATGCTCACGGGAGATTGTAATTATGTCTGGTTTTAATAGAATATGAGATTTCCACCACAAATTGGATTCCTTGGTTCCTTCTCAACAAATACAAAACTCCAAGTGAAAAAGGCTTTAGAAAGCATACTGTTCTGAAAGAAACAGGATGAAGTAAAGAGTCCACAGAGTATGTAATCTGCTTTGGAGCATTTATGATTCTCAGAGACAATCTGCATGTCAGTTCTGTCAACTTGCCAGCAAATGTTCAGAAGTTGGGATGACGTTATGACTGTGGGAGATACAAATTCTCTACCGTCCTTTTTTGCTAGACAAGAGCACAGTTCCAGAGTAAGAGGCAACACAGTGATGATGAGGAGTGGGACTTCAGGATGCGGGAGAGGAGGATTCTCATCCTGCCCCACCCAAACCTTTCTGGGCCAGTCACTTCCATGTCAGACAGAAAGTAAAAATAGGACCTATTTCCCAAGATTGCTGCGAAGATTGAAAGAGTTAATAAAGTACTTAGCACGGTCTCAGGCACATAGTACATGGAGCTATTCAGAGAGAAAAAAATCAATACTGTGAAATGGAAAGCAGGGGATATATGTCCTGATAAACTCACCAGGACAGGCTGCTGAGGATGAAGTAAAGGAAACCGTGAGACAAGCAATTAGGTACGTGTCCTGACTTAGCAGGAGAGAATATTGAGGCCATTTGGATGTGTCAGGAAACAGAAATTGCAAACCTACGAGAGTTCAGGCTTCTAGGAAGATACTGACTGTAAGGAGACAAGGAGAATGTTCAAGGACAAGGTTGTTAAAGAAACAACTAAAAGGGCGAAGAAATGGTACAAGCCAGATACAAGCAGGTAAAAAACAAAGCATTCTCTGTAGACCAGTTATTAAGCTTCAGTGTCCATCAGTATTACCCCGGAGTTTTTTGCAAATCCATATTTCTTGGTACCATGCCTGGACAACGTGACTTCATAGGTGGGTGGGTCCTAGACATCTGTGTTTCTTCAGTAAGTGTCCTATGTGCCAGGTAGTTCAAGGAGCACCTGATGAGAAATGCCACTATGCAGGGAAAATGTTGTGTTAGTATTAATAATGGCTATCCCTTATATCTTACTCTTCTTCAAAGTGAGTGTTTTTCTGTATTTTGAAATAAAGCTTTTTTTGATGAAGAATTGCCATGTTTTAAAGCATAAGCACAATTTAATGCAGTCTTCAAGAAAATTCTATACTATTTGTATAATTTCTTATTTTATTTATTTTTTAATGTTTATTTATTTCTGAGAGAGAGAGAGAAAGAGAGAGAGAGAGAGACAGCGTGAACAAGGGAGGGTCACAGAGAGAGAGGAAGAGAGACGCAGAATCTGAAACAGGCTCCAGGCTCTGAGCTGCCTGTCAGCACAGAGCCCAATGCGAGGCTCGAACCCACGAACTGCAAGATCGTGACCTGAGCTGAAGTTGGATGCTTAACTGACTAAGCCACCCAGGCGCCCCTATAATTTCTTATTTTAAGACGATAGATTAAATCTAGAAGCATAATTTTGTTTACCCTGGTTTAAGTGAAAATTTTAAGGAGTTGATGTTTATCCTTTGGCCACAGGATTGAATAGGGTGGTTGTCTGCTGTCTGTGTCATGTGCCACTGCCTTATAGGTTTGGAATTAAAGATCGGCATGCGCATGTGTTGGCATGATGTGGACCCTGGTTGGCTGGTGTGTTTGGCCTGTGGGTCCTACGGTGTAATCAGCACAGCTGGAGGGCCTCAGCTCTGAAGATGAATGTGGTAAATCTGATTGACGGAGTCCCTCCTGGAGGAAAGAGGGGGGCCAAGTGGGCAGCTCATGCACCTGAAAATAGCTCAGGCTCTAAGGCAAGGGGAGACGAATTTCTTGGAAAAGTACAACTGTTAAATATTTTAGGCCTTGTGGCCAAGAGGCAAAACAGAGGATATTACATAATCACTTACATAACAATCATTTAAAAATGTGAAAACTGGGGTGCCTGATAGAACACGTGATTCTTGATCTTGAGGTCATGAGTTCAACTCTCATGTCACGTGTGGAGCCTATTTAAAAAAAATAAAACAAAACATGAAAACCATTTTTAGCCCATGGCTGTGTAAAGCATGGCAGCAGGCAGGATTTGGTCTGAAGGTCACAGTTTGCCACACCTATCCTACATCAGTAGTTTCCAAACCAATTGATTATAAATCCTACTAGTAAAACTGAATTTGAACACACCTCAATATAGGTTTGTTTATTTTTTAATTGCAAGTTTTATTCACAAACTATCATATTAATATGTTATAAAATTTACATAAACAATTGAATGTTTAAAAAATGAGATAAAAATATATCATGAAACTTTAATATCTTCTTCTAGTATCCCAAACGGGTCATTTTGAACACATCATGTTCTTTTAATGACAATTACTTTGCATAGTGTTTAAAAAAATTTTTTTAATGTTTATTTATTTATTTTGAAAGAGACAGAGAGAGGGAGAGGTCACATAAGTGGGAGAAGGGCAGAGAAAGAGGGAGAGAGAAAATCCTAAGCAGGCTCCGTGCTGTCAGCACAAAGCCCATCACAGGGTTTGATCTCACAAACCAGATGATCATGACCTGGGGCAAAATCAAGAGACACTTAACCCACTGAGCCACCCAGGCACCCCAATCGTGTTTCTAAGTGAGGTGATTGTACCTGTAACAGAACCACCAGAGGTGCCTCATAAAATTCATATTCCTGGGCTGAGCCCCTAGAGCTACCGAATTAAAATTTCTGGGGCTGAGAACTGACTATATTTTACCAAATTCCTCTTTTATTTCTCTACACTAAAATTTGAGAATCCTGGTCTAGAACCACGGGGGACAGAGATATTGCTTGGGTCTTTATTGAAACTCAATATTGAGATACCAAAAAATAAATAAATTAATTAAAGACATGTTGGAAATTTTCCATTCAAAATTCCATTGTTTTTACCATAAACTCCCTACTTCTGAAAAGAGATGTGAGATAGCATAGCATGGAAGACTGATACACCATGGGCCATAAAATAAAATAACAAAGGAATAAGTTATAAACTGAACGGAACATTATTACCTGCCAAGTGTACCCAAGGACTTATGCTGGAGAAAACTGTTGTATCTGAACAAATAGTTCCCTCTGAGCTTCCTGGCACACAATCCAAAATGGAAGCACCATGAATTGCATAATTTTTATTAGCTAATAAAAGAATGCTCAAGAGATAAAAATTTCCTAATACTCAGAAGTTAATTGAATGCATTTATTAAAGGCACAGAAATCTTAATCACCAAAAACTTTAGTAGTGGTTCAGCAAAGTTGCTCAAATATTTTCACATTGGTCTGGTAAACAGATAGGCCATAATATTTTTAAATGCTGGGAACACATTTCTATGCTTTTCCTAATGTAATTCCTACATAGGGTTTCTTTGCTTGCAACATAATAAATATTTTGCTCTTTTTTTTTTTAGGGTGAACCAGGGATTATGGGCCCTTTTGGGATGCCCGGAGCATCAATTCCTGGACCACCTGGGCCAAAGGTATGCTTTCTTGGGAATATTAATTTTTTATATATACATATTTTAAACTTGAATCTTTGGTAGTTGGGGTGGGGGAAAAATTCATGATACCAGTGGACTAGAATTTTAGTTTTGGAAGAGCCCCAAGATACTATCTAGTTCAACCCTGACATTTCACAATTAAGCAAACTAAGGGCTAGCAGGAAATTTAAGATTAGAAACCAGATTTCTTGCTCCTGCTCTTGAACTTGTCACTTCACCCCCCCATGAACTACCTCCACCAAATCCCGGAGCCCTCATACAAGTAAAAATTTACTTTGTTTATTCAGAAGAATCAGGTAGGATTAATAATCAAAAGGTCTAACAGAAAAGAAATCTGCTCAGATTTAAGAGCATTCCCAGACCTTCTTACAGTCCAAATATTTGAGTGTAGGTAGCCACCTATCTCAGTAGACTTCCTCTAAACAGCTGTCATAGTCTTTACTGACAGGTTTTATTTGCTTAGGATTTGCAATCTCCTTCAAGTATATTAGAAGAGGCCACTACCTCAAGATCAGAGACTAACAGATCAAAACCTTTATAACCTGGTTCATCTCGTTTGTACTTCGTGCTATGATGGCTTCTCCTGCCACTTAAAGCCTGAAACTGAACATTATTTAAACCGTGCAGGGAGACAGGGGAGGACCTGGGGTGCCTGGATTTAAAGGAGAACCGGGGATTGCTATTCGAGGACCAAAGGTAGGCTTTATTCATGTTCTTTCTTCCCTGTATGAGATGGAAGGGAAAGGGGATTTAATGCACAGTCAGTTGATAGTTGAGACTGTTCTACTCACTGTCTACATTGAGGATCTGAGTGCACTGTTATCGTTTTTAAAAATCAAGCCACCAGATAATTTATTTTTCATACAACTGGAGGAATGATAGCCCTTTAGGGTGAAATTTTGGATGACGACGCAACAGTTGTTTGAAAACGCTCCTTTGTAACATCTGTGATATAAGAGATTATATGACCTCTAGCTTCTTTCATTTACATATGAATGGCCGCAGTGTCTCTTCTGCAAAACACCACTGTGGAAAACAAAGCAGAGACATTTAATTCAATAAAGCTTCCAAACGTGAACTTTTTGGACAGCGTTTTGCAGAAGAGATATTAAAAGTTCACATTTGGAAGCTTTATTGAGTTAAATGTCTCTTCTTTGTTCTCCATCTTTCAGAGTTATTTTAAATGAAAATGCAAATAACTATAGAAGATGGCTTTAACTAATCATATCTATTTTCCATGGCAACAAAGCACCATTTCCCTGCTCACACAAAACCCAGCACCTCAGCAAAATTTAACATTCTAGATGTCACAAGCGTGTCCCATCCCTGTTCATGAGAACAGGCTTCAGGGCTCCATAATCAACACTTCATTCAATTAGTAGCATATTGTTATGTGGTTTTGAAACGGGTTTTATCAGATTGCCTCTTGTGGATAAAAGGATTCAAGTACTAACATCAGTGATTTTCAAACTTCAAAAAAGAAAACGTAGAACTGCCTTCGAAATATAATGCAAAACCTATTAATACTGCAATTAAGTGGGAATGGTCCATTTAATGATCAAGGGAAGATCCTGAACTCCATTGTTCTTAATCACTTTAACAGTTGTCCTTGCTAGAGTGACAATCTTCTGGTTTATTGAGGACACAGAAGGTTCCCAAGATGTGGGATTTCAAACTAAATCAGCAAAGTCCAGGGCAAACCAGGACAAGATGGTCATCCTACTCCCCAGAACCTGAGGTACACGGGAACCCAAGCTATGTAGGACTCAAGGAGAAAATTCCAAATTTTCTAAAGCTGAAACTGCAGAACATTAGGTAGCAGTTTTCATATTGCATCTAAGTATTCCCAGTTCCATGATTTACAGTAACTTCTTTCTACTTATACTGCCCTTTACAATAGAAATAAAATCCAATTGGGGCGCCTGGGTGGCTTAGTCGGTTAAGCGTCCGACTTTCGCTTAGGTCATGATCTCGCGGTTCGTGGGTTCGAGCCCCGCGTCGGGCTCTGTGCTGACTGCCAGCTCGGAGCCTGGAGCCTGTTTCAGAGTCTGTCACTCCCTCTCTCTCTGACCCTCCCCTGCTCATGCTGTCTCTCTCTCTCCTAGAAATAAATAAAAAAAACATTTAAAAAAAAAAAGAAATAAAATCCAATTAAATGTGTAGCCTGGAATTATAAGCCTCTCCTGTTTTTTACTGATCATCATTGACGTTGTTAGTGATGTACTGAAAGTTATTTGCTTCTTTACTCCATGATTTTTCTAATCTGTTGGCCTCTAATGATACTCCCTGCCATTCTTCCTCGATGCACTATTTTTTAAGCTGTCGAAAGGTTAAACATCTGATGGAAGTTTTGGCACATAATCCAGTTTTTCATATGACTTCAGAGAGCTCCAGATCCTCCCCATTACAAAACACCACATTAAGATTTCTGCCCAAATTTTCATCGAATGAGAGATGTTTCAAAGGGAATCACTCTGCACGACATTTTCTTGAATCTGGTGCATAAAGGCCAAGTGACAAAAATCCTATCTAGAAAAATATTGTGAGGAGTCCAGAATAAAAATCTGAGACAGAACAGTGCCCCTATCTCTGCCTCCTGGTATTTCCTATTAACATTAGAAGTAACAAGCTAGCTGAAATTTTTGCCGGAGGCAGGATAAAGATCTCTAGGTAAAAAATGTTTAGTTGTAAACTATAAATGTTTTAACGTTTTTTTTCTCCCACTGTGGGTGCCAGAGGATAAACAGTAACAGCTGTTGATAATCTGTTATAGTCTTGAAACTTAGAAATAAAACTTGTAAGGGAATCTTGATTCCAATTTTCTTTTCCTTTCAACTTGACCAGGGAGCAGTTACTGCTTTCTTATGTTATCGACCTGTTCTTTGTCTGGGCGTGGAAAGAAATGGGTATCTTGTTTTGGGACGTGTTCTCATGGAAATTTTGGCGTTTTAACCTTAAATATGGTTGGGCTAGCACAATAAATTGCTTCTAGTGACTGGTGAGTTCCGAAAGCTGGGGAGATGCCAAAATTCACCTCTCCAGAAGAACTTGGTTTTTTGCTCTCTGTCATGTAACTTGAAGAGATCCTCCTGTGTTTCTGGTAATGATATGCAGTAGATTAAGATCTTAGAAGAGGCCACATGTTTCCTAGAGACCACTCTCAAGAAGGTTAATCACATAAAAGGAGTCTCAGATTCAATAGGAAAAGAACAGCTATTGTATTCATGGTTTTCAAAATAAACTTAACTTTTTTATTACTTAGAGAGTTTCTAGGTTTCTTCCCCCCAGTCAACCATTCACTCAGAAGAAGGATTAGGAACAGCTTCTGGGAGTTGAATGGTGGACAGCATTTGACTTGGAATATTGGTAGTTTGATCTCAGAATGTGAGATCCTTGCATGTAAAGAAAGCATTGAGAGTCCGGCTACTTTGTCCAATCTTGGGAAACAAAGGTCTGCCAATTACTCATTTCTTCCTAATGTAAAAACCATAGGAATGTGAACAGCTTTTAATCAAAAATAATCGATATGTGTTGACAAGGGTCATTGTAAGAGTCATCGCAGCAACAGAATGGAATGTGATACTAAAAAATTAAACATTTTAAATACAGTGTAATAGATTTATATCTACTGAATCTTCTAAGAGTCTTCCTCATTTTTCTCTTCCTCTCTCTCCATTTTACTTCAGCCAGAAATTTCTTTGATTTCCATTTGAAGCAAAGTTACACTTTCCAGAAAATTCTGTCATTCAAAAGGCAGTAATCATGCTTTCCTATCCTCTATATAGGAGGCCAATTGTAGCTACTAGAAGTTTTTGATGCCAAAGGTTATCATGTAAAGCAATATTTAGAACTTCTTCCTTGGTCTTGAGATATGAATCACAGACTGTGTCCTCTCTGTGTACAACTTGTTTTTTTAAAAAAATTAATCTGTATTTAATTTTCATTTTGGCTTGTTTATTCCTTGTGTAATTTGGGCACCACTGAAGAAGACAATAGATGTAATATGACAACAAGCATATAGTTATCTTACTTTACATTCAAAATTTTACACTTGAAATGTTGCTACGCATTCTTTCCTTCTCTTCTCATACTATGCCTATTAAAATTCTCGTTTTTATACTTCTCCACAATTTATGGTGCAGAAAAGTGTAAATTTTTAAATTAACATATCAGCAATCGGCCATTTGTAATTCCTGTGAAAGGTGTTTCCTTTAGAGGACTTTATAATGGTCCACATATATTCCCCATATTCGCTCCACGCTTCCCACCAAATGCAAATGGGTAAGACTTATGAAGAGAGACTTAGAACAAGTTGCCTCTGTGGTAGAATTTTCTTGTAAAATTTTTCAACTCACTCCTTTGCATTTATCAAAAGCATGTTTGCCATGTAGAGTTGGTACTGTGCTTAAGTTGTGCCAGGTGTTTCGTAGTTTAGTCTTATGATGTCACTCGGTGTTGGAATTTACCCAGGGTGCCCAAGGACCTCGGGGACCAGTGGGTGCCCCAGGACTCAAAGGTGATGGCTATCCTGGTGTGGCTGTAAGTGTGGACATTGCTATTATTTCCTTCATTTCTTCCCTCTTCCTTACTTCCTTCTTTCCATCCTCCCCCTCTCCCTCCCTTCCTTCTTTCCTTCCACGTTTCCTTCCTTCATTCTTTCTGTGATAAACACTGCACATGACAAAGATGCTCACTCTCTCCTTTATTTGTCATCTCAGGGACCTCGGGGACTACCAGGACCACCTGGACCGATGGGTTTGCGTGGCGTGGGGGACACTGGCGCAAAGGTAAGATTTTTAGAGTAGGTAACATTTAGCTTCTAAAAAAAGGTACTTAATGGGGCGCCTGGGTGGCTCAGTCGGTTAAGCACTGTCTTTGGCTCAGGTCATGATCTCGTGGTTCGTGGGTTCGAGCCCCGCGTCGGGCTCTGTGCTGACTGCCAGCTCAGAGCCTGGAGCCTGTTTCAGATTCTGTGTCTCCCTCTCTCTCTGACCCTCCCCTGCTCACGCTGTCTCTCTCTCTTTCTCTCTCTCAGAAATAAAAAACCATTAAAAAATGTACTTATACGTAAATGACTTTGGTAAAGGTGAAATTTTTTTTTCCAAACATGCTAGAAGAGCAGTGATGTCTAAAGAACTGATAGTTATTTATCTTCATCTGTAGACTTCCTGGGGGAACTCCCAGTAATTGGAACATGTAGATTAACTTTGTGGATTTTCTCCTGCTTCTCTGGTAGCAACTCCCATGTTCCTTTGCTGCTTTGTTTTCTGTATAAAGGTCAGAGTTTGGTCCAGAGCCGTCCTCCCTCCCTAGACATCTCTTCCCTGGGTGCATTCGTCCAGACCCATGGCTTTCACCACTACTCATGTGCTGATGCCTGTCTCTTCAAAATATATTTTGATTCCAGCTGCTTTTCTCCTTCTGCTTCACCAGGACAGACCACCATCATCTCTTGCCTGGGCCATTAATCTCTTCATTGGCCTTTCCCCTTCCATCTTGGCCCTTCTGTCACCTCACAGACAGAGTGGTCTTTGAAAACCATGAATCAGGAACACCTAGGTGGCTCAGTCAGTTGAACATCCAACTTCGGCTCAGGTCATGATCTCTCAGTTCCTGAGTTCAAGCCCTGCAGTGGGCTCACTGCTGTCAGCACAGAGCCCACTTCAAATCCTCTATCTTCCTCTCTTTCTCTCCCTCCCTGACTCACACTCTCTCTAAAATAAAAAAATAGAAATTTTTAAAAAGTCATTAAAATGATGAATCAGATCATATCCCTTTCCTTCTCAAAACACACTCTGATGGCTTCTTGCTGCATTTAGAACAAGCTCCTACTTCTTTCTGTGGCCTATAAGGCCCTTCACAACCTGATTGTAGCACCTGCCCCCTTCTCCTCTGTTGCCTTCTGCTAGCCACACTGGCCTGCCCTATTTCAGCTCGTTCCTGCTTCTAGGTCCTGGCTCTGTCAAAATGGCTCATTCTGTCTTTCTTTTTTAAATTTATTTTTATTTTAGTTATTTATTTACCTACTGAAAGAGAGAGAGAGAGCAAACAGGGGAGGGGCAGAGAGAGAGAGGGAGAAAGAATCTTAAGCTGTCTCCAAACCCAGCACAGAGCCTAAAGTAGGGCTCAATCTCACAAGTCTAGTGTCTGACTTCAGCTCAGGTCATGATCTTGTGGTTCATGAGTTCCAGCCCCACATCAGGCTCTGTGCTGACAGCTCAAAACCTGGAGCCTACTTCGGATTCTGTGTGTCTCTCTCTCTTCCCTTCCCTCCGCTCACATTCTCTCTCTCTCTCTCTCTCAAAAATAAACATTAAAAATTTTTTTGAAAAAAACATATAATGAACTGAAAATGAATGAAGGATCAATATTACCCTAAAGAGAAAATATGTCCTTAGAAACATATCTACGTAATTTTTCAAACGCTTCCAGGTCATTAAAGGGAGATGTTAACTTTTTGTTCTCTGACCCCGAAATTGGGAGTGATAACACCTTATTGATGCTTCTGTGCAGTAAGGTCCTTTTGCCTTCTCCAAAGATTGGATAGAACCAAAGATTAGAAACCCATGGCACTAAATATTGTGTCTAAAAGACAGCTTGCCTCCCCCTTCCTCTGTTAGGGTAATCGTGAGAATCCAGGGAGAGGCTGTGTCTGAAAGTACTATGTAAACCGTTCAGCAGAGCACAGCTGAGATACTGTGATCAAGGTTCTGGCTTGGTCTGACTCAGAACTGAATCCAGTCCTCTAACACCCCTTGACAGGGTCAATAAACCACACTAAATTTGGGTATTGAAATATTATTTTTTTCCTTAAAGCATGGTAATCTGTCAAATGTTAAAATTTAAAAATAGTATGACATTTCAATACATAAATCTTATTATTTTCTGCTCTGAGTGAAGCACTGGTAAGAGCTTTTGTTATTATATAAACATTCCTTCAGTTAGGAAAGTAGAAACTTATTTAAAATATGACATGAAATAAAATGTGTTAAATACCTACTGCAATGCATTTGTATTCTAATGGAGACATGATCATTTACATTTCCACCGAGTACGTTATTATATTTTGTATGAGTATACATTACATTATATTAAATTATACTATTATGCTACTGCTTTATATTTAGCAATGATAATAAAGACAGGCACTTATACACACAGAACATTTTAAAATCTGTTTCTTGTGAATATTCCACTGTGTCAGGCTATTTAACATACAGACTAAAAGATTTACTAACTGATTTTGGGGCTCCTGGGTGGCTCAGTCAGTTAAGCATCCGACTTTGGCTCAGGTCATTATCTCACAGTTTGTGAGTTCGATCCCTGCATTGGGCTCTGTGCTGACAGCTCAGAGCCTGGAACCTGCTTCGGATTCTGGGTCTCCTTCTCTCTCTCTGCCCCTCCCCTGCTGACACTCTGTCTGTCTCTCTCAAAAATAATAAAATAAACATTAAAATAAATTTTTAAAAAAAGATTTACTAAATGATTTCATATACTGTTTTCCTCTGAAAGTTCCTTGTATGTGCTATCATAACATTTTAAGGGGGAAAATAAAGAAAAAAGGATATTCCTTCAAAATTTTATCCTGCCTATTTTACATTTTAAAAAAGTTATTTATTTATTTATTTTGAGAGAAAGAGAGAGAGAGAGAGAGACAGAGAGAGAGAGAAAGTACAGCAGGGGCAGAAAGGGAGGGACAGAGAGAGAAAATCCCAAGCAGGCTCTGCAATGTCAGCCCAGAGCCGGATGCAGGACTCAGACTCACAAACCATGAGATTATAACCTAAGTAGAAATCAGGAGTCAGACACTCAACCAACTGAGCCACCCAGGAACCCCATGCCTATGTCACTTTTGAAACAGCCAACATGTTGCCAGAGATGTCTTTTTTTTTTTTTTAATGTTTATTTATTTTTGAGACAGAGACAGAGCATGAATGGGGGAAGGGTAGAGAGAGAGGGAGACATAGAATCTGAAACAGGATCTGAGATGTCAGCACAGAGCCTGATGCGGGGCTCTCATGAACCATGAGATCATGACCTGAGCCAAAGTTGGACACTTAACCAGCTGAGCCACCCAGGTGCCCCCGAGATGTGTCTTAAGTGACACTCTTTACCTGTTAGCCCACACGGGAGGCTGAATGGAGGCAGAAGCTAAGAGCTCATTCCCAGCTGAGAGGAGGAGAGAATATTGGCAGGACCTGGCTCTGTCTCCCCGTCCCCCCACCACCCTCTCAGCAGCCTTTTCTTTCTCTCTTTGGCCTCTTCCTGTGGATACTGGGAAGATGTGTTATCCTGGAAATTTCTAGCCCTAGAAGGAGATGTTAGGAATGTGAACTGGTTTTGGAATGAAATAATGTGGGTCTTGAAAATAAAGGAAATTCTAAAAGTAAACACCAGTTTTTAAATAACTTTTAATATCATCTCGCATCTTTGTAGAGGCCACAAAGTTTCGATGTGGCCTTTTTCTCTGAACAAAACTTTTAGAAGTACACACACACACACATAAAGAAAAATATTTGTAAAAGTTTAATTCTACCTAATTTTGCCCTTCTGGTTTGGTAAAGTGGAGATGAGACCCTTAAAATACCAATGGTAGCAAAAGCACTGGTCTCAAATGTGTAGAAAATTCCTCTCCTTCCATTCTGACTTAAAATAACAGAGAAATTATAATTATGCAGGAGTGTGTGTGTGTGTGTGTATAATTGTATAGACATATATATGTGATATGTTTTTCATTTAAAATCTGTGTAGTCACCTTAAAATACTGGCCTTAGTGCATTAACTTACAAAACAAATGTGTTTTGAAATGAGGAAACCATTAAGGTTGACAATGTATGGTAGGTTTTTGTGATACTTAGTTAAGGGCACATGTGTTTAGCATATGACACAGACATTAGAATCAAAGCTCCTATGTTTCAAAACATATCAAAAGCCATCCCTGATGTCTTGCACCTTTGTGGTGCCCTCTAGCTTTTTTCCAAGTGGAAGAATTCCATATGACATCAGTGGGTATAGTACTTCTATATACAATTACTTTGAATTGCATCCAAATTTTGACAAGCACTTCTGAAAGATTTCTAAAATTCTTACAGAAACTACACTTCCCAGCAGATAGTAGATATAGTTTTAAAATCTACTTTTGAGACACATGAGGAAGAAGAACTGACAATTTGTTTTCTTGCTAAGTGGGACGTGCTCATCTAGTGCCCAGTTCCCTGGAACCTGACTTGTTTGTTGATGGGGAAGGCAAGCTCAAAGATCTTACTTAATGCTGCCTGGACCCCTATAGATGAGAAGGACCCTTCATGATTTGGGGACAATCATTATGTGAATCTCTTCTCCCTTGGAGAAGCCCAGATAAATCTTTGCTCCTGTATTTTCACTTGCAAAGGCTCATGAGGTTCATGTCACCCATGGGCTGATTTGCTGTCATCTCTGAGTGCAAGAGTTTGTTCTTGGCCTCCTAGAAGAGAAATACAAGGAGCAGCTCTCCTGAGCCCCACAAGGGTGCGTGCATTCTGCCATGCACCTCTCTCGGCTCTTTCAGTCGCTCCCTTCTGTGTGCTACTCATCAGAGAGGAAGCCAATGCTTCTCTAAAGCTCTAAAGAGAAGCAAGCTCAGGCCAGTTCTTACACAGAGAAAATCTAACCTGAATCTTAGGGTGTTCAAGGGACCTCTTAACTATCAAGTGGTTGGAATAAAATCTGTGGGCAGAGAACACATGTTGGGTAGTTGTTGCTATTATTTCGGTATACTACATAAATATATATTATATACTACCTAAAT